GCACTGGCCAGCCTGAACAAGTTGTTCTATAGTCCGAATAATCCCAAACAACAACCTGAAATATGTACACACGCACCATCGTGCACTCTCCTGGGCAGGAAAGGAGTGCCATGCACATGTGCCGTGTATTGCTATAGAATAAATTATCAGAACTGCGTATTCATTCGTATTGTATGCACTGCACCCATATACAGGCACCCAGCATTTACTTCTTTTGATTTATTACACAGTTCATTTTCTGTCTATTGTCTCTTCTATACACTCTCCATATACTACTATAGACTATTAGTTGTTTCTCACGCCTTCTCTTTTATTATGCCACACAATCACATGAAGTGCACCCTGCCACCTTGTATACAGTCTGTACATGCATATTAGTGTGTGCGCATGCTCAGTCTATGCGCTGTGTAGTTGTTTCACACAGCATTCACTTCTCTAGACTCTTCTAGACACTATACATAGCCCGGAAATAGACTGCAGTGCAGCCGAAACACCATATATACAGTTATGCGATCAGGTGAAATAGAGAGCGCATAGCCTAAGGGCATACACCCGCCAAATAATGCCCGGCAAAACACCCCGGCAAAACAGTCTTTTTTTCTTTTTTTGTCTATAAATACGCCAGGAATTATTTTTTTATGTCAACAATTTTAACCTGGCATCACAAAGAGGCCCATGGAAAGTACAAGAGAGGGAACAGCCAAGGGAAGAGCTTTCTGCCAGCGGCCAATCATAGAGTAAGAGGAAGCAACACGTGTGCACCTTCCCATGGGCCTCTTATCTAGTCCGATCACACTGTCCCTGATCAGCCCCATTCTGATCTGTCCCACTTTGCTCCTCTGCAGGTAAACAGAGAGTAAGAGCAGTCCAAGCGAGTTTGAGTTTACTTAAGGCGCGTGGTGTGCCCTGTGCGAAGAAGGCCAGGAGGTCTGTCCATTGTATTATTATGTCCGTGTGGAGCACTCTCTTTGTTTGTGCAGCACAAGTCCACCAGCGGAGTCTGCGGCAGACTCTGCCCTCTAGCATACTTATTTTCGGATATACACTGTATGCAGTGCCCGGGATACAGCAGCGGTGAAAGTTGTGCAGTTAGTGCTGTGTGCCTATTCTTCTGGTGTAGAAGTACTGTTCAGTCTGACTGGGCGGGTCCTGTCTGCTCCAGTGATGCGGTGATTACTATAGGCGTCGCTGCCTGGTATGAAAGCAGTGCCCTGCCAGGCATTCTCACTAAGACCAGTAAAAGATGCATTTTGTACCTGCCCGAGTGCCTGTCAGCTGCAGGCCGCATTGCCCATCTGAGACACTGGCTGCTCTACATAACATGGACTTGTGTGTGTCTTTTGTCTCTGGGTGTGCACGGCGTATGGTATTCTGTGTATTGAACCGTCTGATGTGTTGATGTGCTGCTGTATCTGTCTGGACACTCTTCATCTGTATGTACCCCTTTGTTCGTAAATAAAAAAGAAAATAGAAACCTTCTCTTCTTTTCATATTCAATTAAGTTGTATATTTATAGTATAATGATTTAAAGTTGTCTGTTAAATGAAAATTATAGTTTAGATAGTATTAAACTACTTTTATTTCTGTGCTTACTTAATGGTCTCGCACAATGTAGTTTATTTGTATAGGTGGTTTAGGTAAGAACGTTCATCAGCTTAAAAGCTCTTTCCATATAATCTATATTTTCTTTTGGTAAAATTCCTGTGAAATCCAATATAGTATCAAATATTTTATATCCAGTTATAGATAGACTATCGCGCCTCTCCATTATAAACAGCACTAATAAACCGGTTGCCAAAATTATATATAATATGAATATAAAAGGAGCAGTTTTCCGAATTACTTGTTTAGCAGTTTTTGCTATTCTTTTGCATAAGGATTGAGTCTGTTCACTCTCTTTATTATGGTTTTCATTGTTTTTAATATCTTCTGTGTTAACAGTTGTATATTCAACTTCATTAGGAATTCCTTTATTACTAGATTTATGCATATTTTATAATACGATTGGTCTATTTATAGTTTAATTAGACCGTTTAAATCTATTTGTTATTAACAAATATATTTGACATAATATAAGTATGATTTATTATAATTAAATTCGGGTTATATTTAACTATAATTTATACTGTATAACCCGAATCGTTTAATTTTATGTTAATAAGAGTGTGATATAACCCGAAATTTTTATTGAATTGGGGATAAATGGAATATTTGGTATATTAATACTATTTTGCATTTTATTATTTATTTTAGAATATTAATTTATGCGTATATTATCATATGAGATGATTATAAAAAGAAAGAAATTCTTTATAAAAAATAAAAACTGAAGGATTTATTTATATATGCGTATAGAAAATGAGTATTAAATGATTTTAATTAGAAAGCAGTGCAACCAACAAACAAAATATGGATGTACATATAAAAATAAGAACAATTTAACCTGAAATTAACAATACCATTAAATGATACTGAGATACTGAATTATACTATAGAATATCTGTACTACTATTTGCATTTAAGACATTAAGTATGGTTTAGATTACTCTTTATAATTGTATTAGAGAAGGATTGATTACAATTTTAGGGTTTATATAGAAAGAATAACACAAGTATAGAAGTATGTGATAAGTTAAATGGTTTATTTTGTATATTATTAGAAGGATTTTTGGGCATAAAAATTCAAGGCATTTACATAGGAATGCATTAAAATAAAACTAATTCTGTAGATTATCTGAAATTCAATTATTTTCAAATGAAATGTCTATATAATTATCAGTCTTCTTCATCACTGGACAAAACCGTGTGAGAAGCTCTTTTAATGGCCACTGGTTCGGGCTCTTCTGATTTTCTCTCTTTGCCTGCTTTGACTTTATGTTTTTTAATGGATGCAGTCTCATCGTCATCGCTAGATACTGCTGTGCTGCTCGGCTTTTTAACAGATGAATTTCTAGGCTTTCTCTCTTCTTTGTCCTCTTGCTTTATTTTCTGTCTCTTTGCAGGCTTTTCTTCCTCTTCATCTGGCCTTGTTCTCTTAGATTTTTTACTAGATTTTTTATTACCTGGTCCTGTTTCTGTCAGCATTCGCATAACTTCTTCTCTTTTAGACAATAGCTCGCTTGAGTTTTTTACGGTCGGCTGCTGCTGTTTTGGCTCCGTCTCTTTTTTATTGGCCGTCTCTAACGGAACCTCTATATTTTCCAGTACGGATTTGTCTTCGTCTATGGGGCTGTTTATTTCTTCTAATTTTAATTTCATTTCAGTTATTCGTTCTAAATCCTTTGTGTCTTCTTTTATGTGGTCCTTAACTTTCATAAATATTTCATTAAACTCTTTTACAGATCCACTCTTAGAAAGATTTGTCATAACAAGAAGCACAGCATGCTTTGCTACAAGCTTTTGTGATGCAGTGGAGTATTTGGAAGTGTACCACTCAATTGCAGCATTGGCAACATCTGTGTCAATTTGTGTGTTTTCGTTGCACCAGAACAGAATATGGTTGTAAATCACAGAAATATTACTTTCTGAAATCTCTGTTGCTGTAAGAATAGACTTCTTGAATTTGACCAGACTGCATAGAGATAAAATATTTAGAACCCGCTCTGTTCCCGTGTTGTCTGAAATATTTTTTGAGAGCTCCTTTGCTATTTCTTCTAGTAAGCCCACAGATTCTATCTTTAGCTCGGTGCGCATTGCATTATTGATGTATTCTATAGTAGAAGGATTGTCACTAGTATACCCTAGCGATTTAAACAAGCACATGACTTCTGGGCACTCACTTAGAATAGGCTCTTTTCTTGATATCCACTGTTTTAGCATGTCAATGTTTTCTTGAACCTCTGTGGCCTGTGCCTCTGTGCTCAATTCCAGTGCTTTATTATACGCCTTAATAGCCTCTTCTATTTTCTTCTGAGAGAAATAAATATTTCCTAGGCGATTCAAGTATTTGCTTTCCTCTATTACAGGCTTCCATATAAGATGCTCATTTTTTGACAGTTTTATCATTTTCTGTGCCAGAGTAGTGCCTGTCCTTCTAAAGAGGGAGTACTGGGCTCTTTACTCTTTATAAGCTCAACAAGATCTGAAAGCCCGATGTCTTTTTTAATTTGCTCTCGCTTTGACAGTGCATTAACTATCCAGGGAACATCTAGCTGTTCTGTTTTGTTTTGAATTATAGCAGAGCTTATCAGTATAATAGCAATTCGCTCAGAAGCACTTTCGTCTATAGGAAGGTCACTGGATTTTAAGCTCTGTGCCAAGTCCATTACTTCCATGTACCTTTTCTTGCTCAGTAAAGCCTCTGCCCTCAGTATTTCAACCTCCAGCAGCAATCTTTTTGATACACTTAAGAGATCAAGTGATCGCTGTGGGTTTTTTGCAGTTTGCTCAACCAGATGTTTTGCGCTTCCTAAAGCAACGCCTGAGGTAGTTTTTAGTGCTTCAGCAATTTCAGACACAATTAAATCAATGCCTACTCCAGAGCCTTTTTCAACAAGTCTCTTTGCATATTCTATATACGTGTCTAGCCTTTCAGGATTACTTCTTTCCTTTTCTTTTTCCTTCTTAAACTCATCCTCAAAGCGCGAGTACACTTCTTTGGCGCGGTTAGCATCTAGAAAAACAACAGCCACCAGCTCCAAAAGAGTCTTCTCTATGGATGCAGGCAGCCTTTCAATGATTGAAGATGCTTCTTCATACTTCTTTGAATTTATAAATGAAATTGCCTTTAACTGTGCCGAGTATTTACAGTTCCTGTTTAGTTTGTAGGCCTCCTTAAGTATTTCATCCTGTGATGATTCTGTAGCTAGTAAAAACATTGTTTTTATGGTCGGGAATATGTGAGTCTTCGTAATTAAATCCTTTGCCTGGTTTAGATAGATAATCTCCTGAGTTTTGTTATACCTGATTAGTGAAATCATAATGTCTTGATTGTTTTTCAGTGTATGATCTTCTGTGCTTTTGACAGAAACAGTTTCTATTACTCGCTTATAGCTATCTTCATCCCCTACAGAAAAATACTTCCCTGCGATTGCAATTTTGACTCTTTCTTCTATTTGACCAGAGTTCAGCCTTTTAATTAGTGCCTCAAACTCCTCCCCCAATGGAAGAGTGCTCTTTCCTTCCTCCTGCCTCTTCTGCTGTGAATACATTAATTTACAATATTTTTCCTATTTTTATATTCTGTAGAATAGCCAAATAAACAAAATTACAACCAGCAATTATAATCCGAACTTTGCTAATGTTTCTAATAATAACCCGAAATTAAACCAACCGCATATAAAATCACTACTAAATCATATATAGAACTCCCATACATAATACTGTCCAGTATTATAGGTTATATTTAAGATTTTTCAATTTTTAAATATAAATAGTTGTTGATTGTTCATGGTTACAGCGTGTGCACACAGCAGAATATACCATTAACTATTGATGTGCCAATGAAGCAGTATCCTATTTGCAGCGGTTTGGTTGCACTGCTTACATAAATATTGAAAGTATGTGCAGTAGAATCAGTAATGATAGATAGAACGATATAACAGCTTTATGTAGTTCAATAAAGAAGTATGCCTAGCTTTAGCAAATAAAAGACCCCATGTGCACGAAAAGGAAACTACAAAGATAATTTAATTTTAGCATTAGACTAAATTTATAACATATTTCTTTATTGCCATGTATAATAACCTTAGATATTTAACGGACTATAATTATTATACTGTTCTATTATAATTACTAAATAATACTCTTATGTATACAATAAACGGAATATTACCATAAATATAGCTAAAATTGTTTATACATTTCAGTATAAATACTCTATTTCGTATACATTTCAGTTATAAAAAGAGAATATATAAACCATGCGTATATATTATACCCATCTTGATTTATTACACCAGGTGGTGTGGTTTTTGTTAGTTTATATTCAGCATACCTTGTTATATAGGATAAAGAAGCATATAATACCCCCTTTACTAATATATACACATCTATAGATTGTAATCTATACAATATATGAATATTTGATATAACAAGCAGTCTAAATACGAATTCTTCAAATATTTTATCAAACGGCATTGGTGTAGTAGTCTTTGTGGGAAATAAAATCAATCTTAATAATGACTTTTTTGTTTTTTTGGGTTCAAGAATTTTTGGTTTTACCTGCGGACTCATTGCATTAGTAGCCTTTTTAATTTGGGCTATTTTTTTGGCTGCATCGGTTGCTGCTATAATGCTTTTTAGTGCTCTCGCGTGGACAGCAAGTAAAAATATAATAATATCTAATGGCCTGTATACATACAGTCTAAGCATAAATAAGTATGCAATGTATAGAATAAACACACAGAACAAAGTAAGAACTGTTTTAATTAAATGGTTCTCTTTAAAATGGAACATTCCACTATATGCAGCACCAAATAAACCACTCCCTAATCCTAGCACTACTTGTATTTTAATTGGGGCAATGCTCTCTATCCTATTACTCAAATGAAAAATATTCAATCCATGCACATCCATTCTTAAAAGAAAATAAAGTCATAATATTTATGTCATGACACAAATTGATCTGTACACAAAACAAAGTGCGCATACTTAATGGTTCACTTGGTTTATTAAGAAACACTGTAATATTGTGCATAAGAGTAATTATATTAAGAGTGTTTCGGGCGGTAACAAAGTATAGAAGAAATAGCATATTAGAGTGTTTTATGACTAGATATGTTTGTAATTGGATCTGTTTTATTAATTTTGTATAACTGTAAATCATAATTATATATTTTTGCAATTTTTTTATACTATAAATGGATTATCAGTCACCAGACTTACCAACATATGAAGAAGCATTGAAATTACCCAAAGCATGCAATATACCACCAGTATCAGTATCAGCAACAGCAACATTAATACAAACAACTCCACAAAGACCAACAGAAGAATACAATTCAGTTAGCACATCACAAGAACATAATACGCCAAGTTTAAGAAGTGAGAATTTGGTGCCAGAGGGTGAACCAACTACAACAGATAGCGTCTTTAGCGGCAGCCCCCAAGAACATACAAGCAACCAACCAGAGCCAACCAGTAGCTATTATTATGAAAACCAGCCTAACGGAAAGGCAGATACAGATGATTTATCTAGTGGTATTAAAAATAATATATGTGATGATAATAATGGGCCAAAGGGGTTTTCAAAAATAGGAAATAATGAATATTATATTAATTATGAACTTTTTTCTGCCGCTATGTATGAAAGAAGGGAAAATACAGGAAAAATTGTTAATGTAATTGCTTTTGAAAAGAAAATAGAAATAATAGATAATCATATTACACTTAGAAAATATTCTGATAACAACGCCCTAGAATTTTATCTTCCAATACCAAGCCAATCAACTAAGGTCATAATTCCAATGAATTTTCACAAATTGACAAGTAAAAAAAAGAAGTTTTATGGATGCGTTATTGCAGTTTTGCTTTTTATAATGCTTATATGCACCTGCTATGGCTTATCTGTTGTGGTCGGTGTCACTGTATAGTTTAATAATTGTTGATTTAAATAGATATAAATTTTATCTAAATTTCAGTTCCTATACGTATGTAAATAACTTGTTTATGGCTAGTAATATATTTAGTATAGTCATTTCAAATTTTACATTAAAATAAACAACCAATGCATTTGAATTCTAAGCTGGAATTTGTTAATCATTTTTCAGAATGGAATATTTTCAAATAAAATAGATTTCTACTAATTATTCGTATTTAATATAGCCTGGAGTTTATTTTATAATAGTGATAAGTACATGGAATTATTGTAGAAATTGGCACTTTATCAGGAGTATTTCTGGTATGAAGGAAGTATTCATGAAGGATTTTAGGGCATCTATTAATTTATTGTTTTCTTTGTCTCTTGTTAGTTTGTGGGGCTGTGATTCTCTTTCCCTTATTAAACACCACTGGTGCGGATCTGTCTCTTTTTCGTAAGTGGTTCTCACCCACTGCATTAATATGTGGGTCTCCATCTTCTTGGAATTTAGTAATTCTTATTGGCTCGTATGGAATGGTGTTCATAATTTTAACTACAATTTTAAGCACTTCCTTCAGTTCCTTTTCTTCTATTTTTGGAACATCATCCCTGGAAGCTGCTGCTGCTCTGTCCAGAATAATTACTCTGTCTGCTCTTTTTAGCTTCTCTTTTTTTGGCGCCTCTGAATGTGCATTCTCTAACTGACTGTTCTCCCTTTCCTCTGACTCTGCAAGTCTTTCCTTTTCTGTCTTTCTCTTCTCTTTATTTTTCTGTTTTCTTGCCTCTGACTTTGCTTCACTTCTTTTAATTACCTCATCTATCGAGCACCCAATATCCATTTGTATTAAAAATTTGCATTTTGCTGTTTTCAAAGTATTGGCAGTTTTTCTTTATAAAACATATTTATGTCCACAGTGTCGCACTCGCCTTTATTTCTTATGGGTAGAATACAATGCTCCAGCAAATATGGCCAGCACTCACTAAAAAATGTGCGTAGCATAGAAATACACTCTGTATACTCAGAAATAGGAATAAGGCATTCTGCACTACACTGCATAAATTTAGAGCATAACTCAAATGAGATGAGCTTACCAAAGCACTTCTTTACTATGCTTCTTATAACAGGAAAAATCCCAGGCTTTAAAATCAGACTATTAATGAATTTATCTGTTGATTTGTATACAGTAAGCATAGGAAGGCTTAAAACAAATTCTACTCGAAGATGATGCTCTATAACCCGAAATTTACACCTCTCCAATCTTACCCTAACTAGGTCTTTACTACTCTCTGTCGGTATATCACAGTTTAAATTATTTTGCATAATCTCTACTATTTGAAGTGTTGTGTAAGCAAGCTTTTTATGTAAATCCATGTCCATCCAGAGTTCTTTTAGAGTGATCGCTAGCTTATCAATTATTTCTTTCTCTTCTAATGCGATTGCATCTGGCACATCTAAGAAAATTTCCTCTTTTTTATCTATTGCGATGCGTGTGTATTTTTCAGTGGTTAATGTATCTAATTCTACTGGGGGAGTTTTTGTTTTTTCTATTTCTGATACATTATTCTTGAGATTAGAACAAACCTCTAGTAAAACATATCTATTTTCTATACAAATTTTAATGGAGTTTTTGCTCCTTGGCGTTCTTCTTATATAATAAATTATGGGATTGGGCATAATATCCTTTAAATTGTTAATATTTCCAATATACGCCAATTCTTCTAATATCCTTTCGAGAGTGTCAGGCCCATTACTAAATACCTTACAAATATAACTATTTTCTGTGCATGAATTTGTTTTTTCCCAGGATATATTCACGCCAGGACAGAACATAATTTCATTTGTGATTATTTTCTCCATGGTGGCCTCGGTAACATTGGTTATAGCAGAGCCTATCATAGGTTTATTACACGTAATGTTTTCTATGTATAGCTGTATAATCTGATCGTATGTCTGTGGGTCTATAACAATTTCTGCCAATCCCAGCTTACCCATTTCGTATAGTGAATCTATTTTTATGCTTATTGCAGTATACAGATGATTGCTATACATAAATTTATTGGTTTCATCCTCGGATATCCTTATTATTACATAAATTCTGTCTCTACCATTAGATTTATGTATTTTTAATACAGTGTGGTATCCATAGTACTGTATTTTTAACTTGCCTAATATATTTGTCATTGTAGAAATAAGCACATTCTGTATAGAAGGCACACCATTAGCATGAATACATATGTCACTAATTACAGACGAATTATCTAGTATATTCTTTTTTTCTTTAGATAGAAACCAGTGATAGTTATTCTCGTGAATTACATTAATCTTATCTTTTCGGGTCATATCTACTATATCTACTGCTTCTTGCAGTTTTTTCATATAAATTCTAAATATGTCCTCATTACCCTTCCATTCTTCTTCATAACCACTGAATAGGCATATTTTATACAGTGAACTGGCCACACAGAATATACCCCGTGTATCACCGCATAATGCAAGATATTTATTCACTGCATTAATAATATCATACGTTTTTGTAAGAATAGATTCTATCTTCTGCCCGCCAAATATTTTATCTATTTTATTTATCACAATAATTACTAACGACTTTTTATATTTTTTTAGAATATTTCTAATGTAGTCAGATAGTCCTGTGCGAATGTCTATTACCACACACAATATATCAAATAATGAACTATCACACATAAAAGCAAAATTCTCTGGATGCAATGTTAATTCTACAAGCTCAAATATATCTGATAAAGTCTCTTTCTTGTACAGAATGAATCCCTCTTTTACTTTTGTCATATCTTTTTTATAGTTTATGCATAAATTATTTAGTAATGCGCTCTTTCCCACCTGAGACCCACCAATAACCGCTACAATTAAACCCGCCATGTAAAAGAAAATGAAATAAAAATAAAAATAAATCTTGCACAATCTTATAGAAGTGTAAACTATCAAAAGATTGTTTAAACCATAAATCGTGGCGTGCATAAGAGAGATAAAAACAGAAATATTCTGAAAAGCCATGAGCTATTTCAAGGCATTTGATTAGAACGGATAATTTAGTGCTTGGCCGCTTAATATGTATTCTTTAATACTTGGTTTGTATTTTCTGTGGGGGTTCGGGCAGTTTCTTATTATTATATTTTCATTGTTTATTATGCTATATATTATAAATTTATATAGCTTAAATCAGATTTAAGAGTTAAATTATTGCAGCAGTTAAATAGCTTATATGTAGCACAGTCTCTGGGATTTTTGCATTTATATTACAATTTATCAGTCTAATGAAATAGTATTTTATGGTAGAAGGTATAATAAAGCATAGAGAATGAATAAAATAAAATAAAAATCTTCTGACAGAAAACCAACAAATGAGTTTAGAGAGCATGCCACCAAGAGAGACAGGATTAAAATATTCTTCGACCACAATGGAAAGAAATATTAATTTTGAGAACATTTTAAGGGGAAGCCCATACAACATAATTCATTTCCAGGAGGCACCAAATACATTGAGAGATAAAAAAAGAGAGCAGAGAATTGCCGACAGCTCTATATTTACAACAGAATATTGGAAAGCAGACCAATATAAGGAATCTGTCATGATTAACTTTTTCATAAGCACACCACTCTCTCTTATTTCTTATTCAACCAGTTTAATTGACTGTTTTCATGGGAAAGTATCGCTCTTTCTGCTTTATATTAATATGTGGTTCTCTGTGGTTACCATAAGCAACTTAGTTATTTACTACGTCATGCTGTATAAACTGCACAGAACATACCATGATGTAGACAAATTTAAACTATTTTCTGGTAGAACTATTATAAGCCATGTTTATATACTGGGAGTGTTTGTTGTACATATAATTAATGAAACAAGAGTGGCTGTTTTAGGTGATTTGCGGCTGCACATGTATTTTACTGAAAATAAGAATACTCCCACAGGTAATTTGTTTTCTATTATTCCTAAAATAACAAGCCCAATTTATACTCTCTATGATGTTTGTTTTACATACATATTATTAGGAGTGACAATTATAATTTTGTCATACACAGAAAACAAGTACAAATTTATAACCGAGGATATTTCTAAAAGATTAAACATGATGAGGTATGTTATAGCAAGAATACTTGCTGTTTTTATTCCTATGTGTGTATTATCACTTAGCCGCGGTGTAGATACTCTTCAAAATACATTATACAAACTATTACATCTTATGATAAATGGCACTATATACGGGTTTATTGCCGGGTTCATTATAAACAGTACTTATGGTACATTTTTACCGTGGAAGTATACGGAAATAGAACAAGAAAGAAAAAGAAAAATGAAAGAATTCTCTCAAGTGGTTTTATTCCTTGTGAGTTTTGTTCTGGCAGTTGGATCGACCTCACTTATCTTTGGCCATAGTGTGTAAGAATACATTAACACCAATTCCTAAACACTAGTTGTTATAATTTTTATATGCACCATGTCCAATGCAATTCTATACACTCTGATAGAATAATTGCTATTCCATAACAAAAAATATAAACCTTTCATGGCATTCAAGAAATATGTTTTGAGTACTCTCAAAGTCACTGTTAAATTGTTTCTGTGAAAGGGATTTATATATAAGAAAACAACTGTTTATAGAAGGAAGAAGGAATAACAATATGAAATAACAAGAAGTGCATGATTCTCTGCAGGCAAATTAGTAAATTACTCTCACTCTAACTATCCTAAATTGTTTGATTGGCCTAAATAAACTTTCTAGTTAATATATTTTCTAAGTACAATCTAGAAACAATCTAAATTTATATTTTAGTGTAAATATGTTATTTGGTAAATAGCCACTTTAGATTATTCTTCTAGAAAGAATGCACTACTAGAAAATTAAATATTACTTGAATCTATTAGAAATTAACTGAAATCTTTTTATTATCTATATTTTGTCCTAAAAGATAGACTATACACAGTATATTGCCCAATTTTATTTATGTATATTATTGTGTGTGATGAGTTTTTGATTGGTTTGAGATGAAACTGTTCTTTCTGGGTATAAATATACATATCCTGTGTTGTATAGTAGTATGACATGTGAGGCATATATTTCTCCCAATGTTGAGTGGTCTTTAGAGCCATCCACCTGGTTTGGCCAGACATTGCTCACGGGAACTGTTCTCTTTATTCTTACACAAATGGTCAGCAAGTCAATTGCATGGACAGTTACTATTTGGCTGTACAACATAATCACATTTGTATTTTTCCATGCAATTCTTGGGGATCCATTCAACCCAGAATATTCTGGACTAACCTTCTGGGAGCAATTAATGATTCAATTAAAAGGATCATCTGGAATGAGTTTTTTTACACTTTTCCCAGTAGTTCTCTTCCTGTGTGGGGCTAGATTTGCCAAGTTTAGTAATTTTCTGTTTATAGTCAATTTCATTTCTTTAGTCTTGGTTGTTGCTCCAAAAATGCTTGTTTATATGGTTTACTACCGTAAAACGAAAAACGAAAAGAAAAAAAGAGAAAACGTACATAAAAGAAAAAAAAGCAAATCTGAAAAGAAATAATGAACAATTAATAAATAACTGAAGAGTTTTATTCTAGATTTTGTATAAGATAAGAAATAACACAGGTAATTTCTGGGTATTCTTGCTTTGTTTGTTTTATATACTGTACAACCAAGAATACCCCGAAATCAAATGCATTACTTATTGTATTTTATAGAGTCATTCTTAAATCTATATATAGCCCGAATTATAATCTAAGGAATGCAGATACTTCTAATAGATCCAGTGATTCTTGGTCTTCTATCTTAAAATCCTGTACTTCCATTCTATTTTGTCTGTAATTATATTTATAATGAAGATATTCTACTATTCTCTGTAAACACCGGTAGTTAATAGGGAGTTTAATTGTGTTGTTTTCGCACTCAATAAATGCCGGGTTGTCAACCATTTTTCTTAGCATTGTGCTTTCACAGAGTATAGCATACCGAACGTATACTTCCTGGTCTGTATTACACACCAAACGAATGCTTGGGTGATATTGCCTAGGATTTATTGCGTGTTTAGTACGCTCTTCCTCACACATGTGTAGTATAAACAAAAATTAAAATTAAAATTAACATCTATTTAGTCTATTTGGTGCGGATTCTAGTTATATGTACTTGTGGCTGTTTTAGTATGTGTTTTACTGTGTCTATTTTATAGTCTATAATGACTCCATGGAGTTGTAAATGTTTTATTATCTTAGAGTATTTCTAGCTATTTCTGATTATTTAAATTTTATTTAAAATAAATCCGTACACTTGTACGAGGCTTCTTCGGCTTCTTTGTACATATTTGTATTTTATGTAAATATAAAATAGTTGGAAATAGTAAAAATGAATAAATGTTAGGATTTTATTGCTCATTCCCGAATTGGTGTACTAAAGCACTGAGTAAGACTTTTTTTGAATGACGTTCTTTCAGGACTGCTTTTTGTTTGCTTGAAAAGACATATGAGCCTATTAAGCTTGGTTTCTTTGCCTTTTCTTGTTTTCAGTTTATTTCTTAGCCTTTCAAGGACACTAACAACTTCTAAGTATTTCTCGGGTGCTTGTATTCTATCTAAGTACCAGGTATCATTTTGCTTGTTGACTAAGTCATACACATTTTTAAGCACAGGATATGGCGTTTGAGGATCTGTGCATGCACAGACAAACCATGCAAGAGTAATTATATCGTTCACATAATCACAGAACTTCCACTTACTCTTTATTAAATCTCTAAGTATCTGTAGATTATCAATATTATCGCATACAAACAAATGCTGGATTATTTTCATTAGATACCTTGAATGCAGTAGTGGGTTTATTGCTCCAGTTAAACTGGTCTCTCTTAGATTTATAAACAATCTCAGGCTGCAGATTAGAGTCTCTGATGTATGCATATCAACAATGTACATGAACAATTTTCCTGTTTCTAAGCTATTATTTAGTATATCTACATACTGTATTTCAGTACATATAATATTCTTTTCCAGATTTGTCCATGTGTATCCATATACAATATACGGAATAATTTCTAGCTGTAAGTCTAAGTTACAGAGTGGAATACTTCCCAGCAGATTAGATATAACTCGGAATGCATTATCATTCGGAGACATCTTTTCATTCATGAAAATAAGAGAAAGGAACTTTATCAGATTCTTTTTATACTGCAGATCAGAAATCCTTCCCCATAAAAATATCTGTTCTATGTTATCACACATATATATTTCTCTAGCCACATGCATCATACTAGATATATTACTTAAATAGGATCTAAGGCTATTTACTAGTATGTCTATGTAATTAATCAGAAGGCAGCTAATAAATCTATTATCTTTCATATACTTATTCCTTGTGTTCAAACAATTAGAAATAAATTGCGTAATTTCATAAGTATTCACTACTTTCAGGGTTAGAGAAGCCCCGCCATTAAATATTCCTACGTTTAATCCACTGACGAGTCCATTAAACCTATACCTTATGGCTATATTACCAAAGACATCCGATGTATTAGTATTCTGTATAAATCTCTTTTCTATTTTACCAAAGGACACACTTACATCCTTGTTCGTAGAGAGAGACATAATTAAACCTAAAACATACTCTTCTATTTTTCTAATAAAGCTTTGCACCAGTGTATTATTTAAAGTCATTTTTTCAATACACAATTCAATATACTCTTTGTCTTTTTCTGGCACTCCTGTTATTTCCTGAATAACCCGAATTATATTCAATATTCCACTCACAAGCTGATTTCCATTCTGAGAGTACTTGATGTGTGGATCACTTAGATTAGATACAATTTTATTCCAATCTCTGTGCATTTCAAAAGACGTTTCATCATTTGGTATTTTGTATTTATTAAAGAACCACTTCAGTTCATCTGATGCAAACTGCATGTTCTTAGTCGTGTACTTTTTTGTTTCTGGGTCATAAGCTAGACAGCACATTATACCAAGTATTGCTGCTTCAACAGAATTATCAAAGTACTCCTCTTCAATTAGGAAGTTGTTTCTAATATTAGAGTATTTTGGTATTCTAGTATACGTGGGCAGTGTATACGCATCAGAAAATGGAAGTATACTGTTTCTATTCAGTATTTTTTCTATTTCCACTATGTCATATAAATACTCATAGGATTTCTTCCACACAGCATTTTCAAATGAAAAGCACCGTATGAAAATAGATTTAACCATTTTCCTTTCTTCATTATCCATTAGCATATAATCATCTGATAAAAATATCTCCTCAAGCATAGTGTACACAATGTAAATAAAATCCTGTGCTTTGTCTATGCAGTCAAGAAAATCGTAGATATATGCTTGTATCAGAAACCGTGGAGTGTTTAAAAATCCAGCCTTTTTAAAATCTGAATACGCTGCAGGCTCTGTAGACACATTATTCAGCACAACCATTGGATTAGTCCTATTTATAATGAAAAATTCAATAATTCTTAGAATACTGTGTGATAGATTCGTCGTATTATTTGCACATTCCATGGGCTTACTTAGAGACTCATCTATACAAATATTGAACACTTCTGTATCATCCCTTATATTTCTTAGAATAATAAAATATTGACCTTCTATTTTTTCCACGGTAATTGGTATGTCAATTCCTTCAGAGAGAAGAAATAATGCAGCCAGTATTTTATATCCATCACTAGAGTTAGGCTGTAAATTCTTAAGAAACCCAGTGAATGTTCTAGTATCAATCCTATTCATTATTGAATTACTCCCACTGTCAAAGAACATATTAATAAGGCAAGCATTAAACTCACTTAAATAATGGTCTCTTACTGTTTTAGTATTAGAAAAGTATTCTACAGGGTTTGTTCCCGGTGTAAATGAATACTTCGGGTTATTCACTCTACCTTCTGGTGCATACTTCAATGAGAAGAGAGAATTGATTCCAGAGGAGTAGTCCCGTTTATTCTGGATAAGTCCATTTTTATAGTAGAAATATCCTCTGAGCAAATTAAGTGGTCCATCAGGATTAACTCTTGCCATACCAGATGTACTTTGTGCTATATCATAGTTTATTAATTCTATACATTCATTTAATGCAAGCTGACTCCTTATTCCTGTAATCATCAGGAGACAAATCCAGTAGTAATGAATCATAAAAACAGTAAAAAATATTTTCCTTATTTAAATAATTAAAAAAATAAATATTTTCAATAAAACCTAAAATTAACTGTAAATTATGCATACAATTTAATTTCAAGTTATTACACTGTAATCATCGCATAATCCACTTAAATACACCATAAATACCTCATTTAATGCATAAATTATATTTTATTTAATAAATACTTATGACACATTGTATAATAAATAATATTCACACATACTATTTATAATACACAGTATTTATTACATATAGTCTTATAAATTATTCTTTTTTTTAATTTCCGTTATTTAAAATTTTTATTTTATTTTTATTTTTACATTATGAAATAACCATGGAAGGAGTTCAATTTCAAAGGGTACAGACCGTTATGAGAATACCAATTTACCCATACCAATTAAATAATATAACAGAGTATACGTATAAATACCTTAATAAATATATTGGGTTATACATTAAAGCCTTAAAAGGGGTTGTCATGTGCTACACAGAAAGTATCGGGATACTCGATAATGTCGGGATTATCACAGGGACCGATCCCAAGGTGTATGTTAAAGTATCAGTCGAGTTCATCCTCCTGAAGATAATTAAGAATGGCACTGTGACGGGTGAGATAAAGGCCAATCCCACTGGGCCTGGCATGTATTCATTAATTCATGGGACTATTCCTGTAGAAGTCCCTGGGAGTGTCCAGGAGGGCTTGTACAAGTATGAAATAGTTCATGTGTGTACGTTTCCATTATACGTTGTAGCAGGCAATTTAAGCAGAGTGCACAGGACAGGCTGATTATGTTTAATAAATACTTTATACACATAGTGTAAGATATTCTGTACAGAGACTATTTTATATTACAATAAGCATAATAAATCATAAACATATTAATAGTACTTTATGTACATGTACTTATTAATAGTACTTTATACACTATCAGTAATAAATAATACATGATGATTAATTATTATTATTAGTATACTGTGTAATATATTTTAAAGTATAAATACCAACTAAATTTATTTTTAATGGATGAAGTTCTTTCAGTAAAATTCATTAAGGAAGAGAATAATGTAGACAGAGATTCACTGAGAGTAGAAGGAGAGTTCATGAGCAGAATAATATTCTCAAACAGGGACAGAACAGAACTAAAATTAATCAGTATGAGGCACTGTAATGAGATAACCATAAAAGGATCCTTTTCTGGGGCGTATGGTGACAGTCTCTGGGTACAGAATGAGCACACAGATTTAATAGAGTATAAGTATAAGGAGGGACTATTAAAAAAAGAGAAGAGAGTAGAAGTAAATGATACAGCAAGAGTATTACTGGGTAAGGTATTTATACAAAAGAATGGCCGGTTAAGTGTCCATGACTTATTAATGAACGAGGTGTTTTCAATGAGATCGAATGCCTGCGTACTATCAGAAACCCATTTCTTAGTGAAAAGGGATCATGAAGTGATTCTGTATACAGTAGAAGGACTAACTGAAGTAAGGCGGGTTCCTGTTAAGGATAAGTATGAAGTATTCCTGGTAGGGGAGAGTATCTTAATAATAACGGAAAGTATCCTTAAAATAGTAAAGGATACAGAAATAACGGTCAATTTATCAATAGATATAGATGAGGACATGGATGAGGACGTAGATGACATGATCAGGAATGAGGGTGACTCTATTAATAATGGGTATATTATAAAGGCCTGTAAGAATATAGGACCAATTGAGTGTATGTTAATTATAGGGCACAGACAGTCCGTGGATATAGAGTATATTATAGTAAATGAGAGTACAGCCCAGAAGTATCAATTAGAAGAAGAATCAGATGGATTATCAGTCCCATTAATGCACAGTCTGATTAACATGTACGTATTAGAATCAACTGTCTTAGAGAGTATCAATCAGGAAGACAAAGAGATCATACAAGGACCGACCATTGCAGTAGAAACCAATTTAAATGTATATTTATATGGGATGGTATTAGATGTATCTGATCCATCTAAGTATATCAGCACACGCCGCAGTAAAGAGGATAAAATAGAATTAGATGTGCCCATAATAACGTATAAGGATTCAGCACAGCCACCAGAAGACTCCCATTCTGAGCGTATTTCAGGGCCATCCGAGGATGAAGAATCCTCCACAAGCACGTGTACAGCAACAAATTCAGAAGAAGAGGAGCACACCCCATCAGACATCACTGATAAAGAAGCAGAGTATAAGAAAAGTACTTCTGGTTCAATTACCACGCATAACAAGGAAGAAGAAAGTTCCTTTTCTACCACAGAGACAGGCACAAACAAATCAGTTTCACCACTCACTTTATTATCACTGTCTAATTTAGTACCACACACATCCAGTGATAATAAAGTGAGTGAGTCAAGTACTAATTTATTCAGTAAGCCAGTGAATGAGTCAGTGACTGAGCCAGTAAAGGACAATTCAGTAAGTGAGTCAAGTACTAATCTATTCAGTAAGGCAGTGGATGATTCTGTTAGTAATAAGTCCAGTAATAGTCTATTCAGTAAGGCAGTGGATGATTCTGTTAGTAATAAGTCCAGTAATAGTCTATTCAGTAAGGCAGTGAATGAGTCAGTGAGTGATAATAAGCCTATGACTAATTTATTCAGTAAGGCAGTGACTGAGCCAGTGAGTAATAATAAGCCTATGAGTGAGTCTATGAGTGAGTCAAGTAATAGTCTATTCAGTAAGCCAATGGATAATAGCAATAAGTCAGTGAGTCAGTCAGTGACTAATTCAGTGAAGGATGATGAGTCTATGACTAAGCCTATGACTGAGTCTATGACTAATTCAGTGAAGGATAATGAGTCTATGACTAATTCAGTGACTGATAAGTCTAATAATCCTACAGAAGAAGATTTTTTAAATTATTCTTTAAAGAATTTAAATATAAAAAATGAATCTTCTGCTAAAAAAAGAGTTTTATTAGGCATTCCTGTTAGGAATAGTCCAATGAATAAAATAGAAGACATGATAAGTGGGTTAGACAATTCATTTAAGAATCCGATCGTATCTGTTAAGAATGATATTCAAGAGATCCGGGAAGTATCCAGTCGGTGCAAGAGTATTTTAGAGAGTATTGAAGTATTTGATATATCAGATAAAGAGGTAAGTGTAAAGGATATTTTATCCGGGGTTGAGGAAGCCATAATTCTAGTGAAGGATCAGTTATCACACTTAACCCAGGAAGTAGAGGACAGGAACCTTGTCCAGGAGAAAGTAAGTGCACTGCTTGTACTGGTACAGTGCAGACTAAACAAGATGGAAGAGGTAATAAGTACATCACCACCGGATTATTCCAAGGAGATAGAGTATGTTAACACAAGAATATCGAAAATATTCAACATATCCACGTACACCACGGGCAAGTCAGAAGATCAAGTATCTCCGAACAGTATTAGTATATACAGCAAGCCATTAGAGCTGGCGACAGATCAGGTTCATAAGATAGAAGAGAGTATTATTCTACCAGCAACCCGGGAGAGCACAATTTCCATGCTCACGGAGTGTTTTAAGAAACTACGCATAAATCCAGCGCACGTAAGCAGTTCACAGGATATTTCTTTAATAGACAGGATATTCAGCACAGAAGCAGAGCAGACATTCTTAAAGACCATCCAGACACGGGGCAATAATTCTGTGGAGAGTGTCAATCCAATCCCTCTTACGGATTTATCACAGGCCAGTACGCAATCAGTCAGTAATACACCACAGAAGAGTACTTCAACACTCAATCAGACCAGTCAGACCAGTCAGGCCAGTCAGACGAGTACACCAAGTGGCTCTATATTCAGTCAGACGAGTACACCAAGTGGCTCTATATTCAGTCAGACCAGTCAGACGAGTACACCCAGTCAGACGAGTACACCAAGTGTCTCTATATTCAGTCAGGCCAGTCAGACGAGTACACCAAGTGTCTCTATATTCAGTCAGGCCAGTCAGACGAGTACACCAAGGGGTTCATTATTCAGTCAGTCAGTGCAGTCTAATATGGGAAGTACACCAAGTGGCTCTATATTTAGTCAGTCTAATCAGACGAGTACACCAAGCGGGTCATTATTCAGTCAGTCTAATCAGCCTACTCAACCCAGTCAGGCCAGTACACCAAGTGGTTCTATATTCAGTCAGTCTAATCAGCCTAATCAGGCTAGTCAGCCAGCCCAGTCTAATCAGTCTGGTTCTCTGTTTGGCCAGTCTAGTCAGACTACTCCTAATAGTAGTTCTCTGTTTGGTCAGTCTAATCAGACTAATCAGCCTGGTTCATTATTCGGTCAGACCAGTACACCAAGTGGCTCTATATTCGGCCAGTCTAATCAGTCTAGTCAGTCTACTCCTAATCAGGCCAGTCAGACTGGTTCTATATTCGGCCAGCCTAATCAGACCAGTCAGGCCAGTCAGACAGGTTCTCTGTTTAGTCAGCCAGCCCAGTCTAATCAGTCTACACAGCCTAGTGGCTCTATATTCGGCCAGTCTAATCAGCCTACTCCTAATCAGCCCAGTAGTTCACTGTTTGGCCAGTCTAATCAGCCTAATCAGCCTGGTTCTATATTCAGTCAGCCATCACAGTCTACTTCTGGTGGCTTTAACAGTGGAATATTTTCACAGCAGAGTAATCCGTCCTTTAATCTGTTACAAAGACAAAGTAACCCATTCACACAAGGAAATAGTAAATTAGGACTGGGTTCATCATCAAATACATCTTCTTTATTCAAGAAGCCCCCACAGGAACAATAAATATTAATTATTACACTATGCTTATAAAGTATTACACAAAATATTCTAAATTTATTATACCATGCTTATAAAGTACTACTTATTATACGATGTATACTATTTATTATTTATTATACTATGCATATAAAGTACTACTTATTATACGATGTATACTATTTATTAATTACTGTATAATGTATAATATATAATATTATTTATTATACTATTATTATTAAGTATACACTACTTATTATACTATTATTGTTAATTACTAACCCTTTCTATACTGCTTTAATACAGGATAAATATTCTCAAATGCTTGATATATTTCTTCTCTGTGCTTAGCCCCTGTGAGTACTACTTTACCAGATACAAATACTAATAAGACTATTTTTGGCTTAACCATTCTGTATATAAGACCAGGGAACAGTTCTGGCTCATAACTACTATAATTACTGTGACCGAATACTAATCCCTCTAACCGTATGCTGAATTTAGTATCACAACTGCTTACTATATTCTGTATCTTAAACTCAGTGAATCTAACGGGGTATCCTAGCCGTCTGATTATTATACTGTACTTCTTAGCAGCAATTTTTGAATCCTCTTCTGATCTGGCTCCAGTTACGACCATCTTACCACTGGCGAATATTAATGCAGTAGTACGTGGCTTACGTATACGTATTATTACAGCAGCAAATCTCTTAGGGTTATATTCTGCATTTCTAGCACCCAGTGCAATTGCTTTTAAGTCTAATCTACAACATAAATTAACAGTAGCCACAATATTCTGTATTGTAGGAACCAATCCAGAAGGATGTTTATTCAAATCTACTTCCATAAATAAAATAAAATAAAATACTAAATAATAATAGTACAATAAATAACATAATATAATACACAGTATACAGTATATAACACAATATAATACACATAGTATAATAAGTAGTACATATTACACAGTGTATAGTATATACTAAATAATGCACATAATATAATAAGTAGTACATATTACATAGTGTATAATAAGTAGTGTATATTACACATTACATAATAAATAATACTTATAACACATTACATAATAAATAATACTTATACACTACTTATTACACATTGTACATTACATATTACACATTGTACAATAAATAATACACATTACATAATAAATAATACTTATACACTACTTATTACACATTGTACATTACATATTACACATTATACACTACTTATTACACATTATACTATTACTTATTACACTTATACATTACTTATTACACATTACATAATAAATAATATACATCCTACACTACTTATTACACATTATACTATTACTTATTACACATTGTACAATAAATAATACTTATACACTACTTATTACACTATGTGTATTATATAATTAGTCTAAATTTACTACAAGATATTTTTATTACTACAGTATAATTATATTATACTATTACTAACAGAATAAGACACCCTTACTTATCCTGCCTATCAGGTACTTCCCATACACGTACCTCCCCATTCTGGCCACCTGTTAATAATACTGATCTATTCCCTATAACAGTACCTTCCATCGCACTAATCATACCATCATACGCCCTAGTGTACACATTCTTATCCTGTACTTCATATATCATATTATACCCACCTAAGAATAACCGGCCAGGCACAGTACACACAGACTGTATCTTGTCACATGAGAATGGTATTATACTCTGTGAATAGAATGCTTTATCATATATTATTATACTATCTGATAGTATAAATATATTATTATTATGTGTCTTATACGCTGTAATAATACCTTTACTGCTTATATCCTTAATGTATGAAGATGTATCTGGGTTAAACAGTGAAATAGAATTAATATCACACACAGCAATAATATTATCCCTGGATATCATAAGCTTAATTGTCCTTCTAAGAATAAATGCACTAATACATATACCATCCATACCCCATATACGTAATTCACCATCTATTCCCATTGTGTATATTTTATTATTAGAGAAGTCAATGGACTTAACAGAGGACTTGTGCCCCTTTAATGACAGGAATAATGAAATAGTCAACTTGCCATTATCCCTGGATATTTTATAGACTTTTGCTTCTCTGTCTAATGATGCACTACCAAAGTATAAAGGATCATTCCCAGATGACTCTCTTATTTTTACTTGAGATATTTGCATGGAGTGTGACTCAAACCTTATTACGTCATTTAAATTAACTAAATCTACTACACAAATTGATGCATCCATTCCTCCTGTTACTAATATTTTATGTCTATGACATACGCTCATACTGTTTATTTTCTGTGTATGTAGTCTAAGATTGGCTATCTCCTTTATATTTAAAGTATGTCTCTGATCAGTTCTATTATACTGAGTGTCATCTATTTCTAGTATACTATTAAGTATATCACCATCCTTATACCATCTATTACTATTATTACCAATTGTACTGTGTGTACTGCCAATTGTACTGTGTGTACTACCAATTGTACTGTGTGTGTTTAGTATATTATTACTAACTGGTCTGTTACTGGGTATTTCTATATCTGGTTTGTTATGTATTGTATGCGTAGAGTGTACTTGCTGCCTTTTTCTTTCTTCTTTATGTACTTTGCCTAAAATTGTGTCTATCTTACCTGTAATCCCAGATGGTTTACTTCTGCCACTCCTTACATTGTATAAGTCATTAAATGCAATAAACCAGTCTAATAAGGCACTTGATCCTTGTGTTATGTTTATGTTACTGATATCTCCCTCTACTTTAAAGACCTTTGCTGATCCTGTATAACTATTCTTTATTAAATATTCGTATATTAATGCATTTAGGACTGTTGTGCTGATCTGTGAATCTGGCTTTTGACTCTCTTTCTCTTCGTATGTAAACCTTCCTTCATGCATTTAGAGTTAATTTCTAAATAAAAAGAGCAATTCAAATGTAGCAGAAATATTTAATTAAATATTTTTATGAGTGCATGGAAAATAACGAACAGAAAAGGAGTGAAATGAGCAATAAAGAAAATAAGCCAAGGAATAGCAGAGTAAAGAGAGTAAAACAAGAAAGCATCAAAGAGAATAAAGAAATAACAGAAGAAATGAAAATACACATAGAAGAGAAAGACAGTACTAACACAGACAGTACTAACACAGACAGTACTACAGATATAAATAGACTAAATAGTACTAATAATACTAATACAGATATAAATAGACTAAATAGTACTAATACTAATAATAATAATACAGACAGTACTACAGACAGTACTAATACTACTACTACAGACAGTACTACTACTACTACTGCTACTACTACTACAGACAGTAGTACTACTAACACAGACAGTAGTACTACTGGTATTATATGTAGTACTGATAATATATTATATGATAATACAGATATTTCTATGATTAATATGGATATATCCTGTGTTAAAGTGTACTTAGACAGTATATCAGTTATTAATACACTAAAAGAAACAAAAGTAATGATAATTACACCATTAAAGAAGGATGTACTTTGTATACAGAATAGACTAAATGAGAGACAGGTACTTGTAAAGAGAGTTTTAGAGGGGATAGAAGCACTTGATGAAGTAGATGTAAATTGTGTTATTATAAACAAGTTTAGGATAATTAAAGAGATGGGTCTGATCAGTGACTTAATCACAGCCATAGGGAACAGAAGAATAATTGCAGTGTTAGAAGAAGAAGAGGATGATTTAGAAGAATTGAAGGATTATAAATTATTAACTAAGAAATTATCACGGAGAGTGTTTTATGTTAAGGGCAGCAGTATATTCGACAGAATGGCAATGATATTCGCACTAACTAAAGCCAGACCCATAAAGAACCTTTGCATCCTTGTGGGTACACCCAGGGAGGAACGGCGTGTAGAAGTGTTCTTGCAATCATTTGGCATAGCAGTAAAATTATCACCAGATGTAAAAACAGAAGGTGTTGTAGGCATATTCAGTACGCACAGGAGCATAAACACAGAAATACTCCAGAAATATTCATTAGTCTTGGATATATCTGGGAGTGAACAAAAATCACTGGAAACCATTAAAGCGAGTGTATTAAGAATGGTAGCACACACAGAAAATGAAGATGCCCGGTTTAAGAAGATATTAGAACAAGCCATGACGTATAAATACAGGATAGACAGTGTAATACAGTTAATCACACCAAAAATACTTAAAAGAAGGGGTGAAATTGAGGCAAGTATAGTAAAACACTTACAGGGACCGCTTAGACTGATTTAAATAAGAATAAATAATAAACTTATCTATAAATATACGAAAGTGTTAAATAGTCCTATTATTACTGTATAACACACAACAAATAAAAATATTTTATGGCCTAAAAAAATAAATAAATTCTGGATATGCAGACACTCAGAGAAAGTGCTTGGTTTGGACTACCACGCGATAAAAGGAGTATATCCTGGCTGATTCTATTGGATATAATAGGACCATCTACTACAGAGATAGATAATGATATACGGAGTAGGTGTAAGGCGTACGAACAGTTGAATAAGCAGGGTATGAGAATGAACAGTCCAGAGATACTTCTGTCACCACTTACACACGATAAAGTACATAAACAGATAAGTAAAGATGTACTACGGATAGAGTGTGATGTGCGTGGTATAAATACGTCTGAGTGTTATATTAAAGCAATGAGTATTTTCTCACGGAGGTATCCTGTTATAAGCTATGTCCAGGGGATGTGTGATATTTTTAAGATGTTCATGGACGTACACTCACTCACGCATGAAATAGGAACAGCTGAAGCACTCGCATACTTATGCTTTGAGAAGATTATTGGTAAGTATTTAGACCACTTCTCATCGCAGCAGGCAGGTATTGAAAGATCAATCCAGGAGATAGAAGATCTTCTGATGAAGCACAGGCCTGTCCTTATGAAGTATCTGTATAAGCACTCTGTAGAGGTAAAGTACTTTGCGTATAACTGGATGTCCACTTTCCTGATGAGAGAGTTTCTGCAGCATAAGGAAATATTCGATGCCCACTTTTCTTTGGGCGTAGAGGAGTTTCTTCGGTTTAATATCTCATTCGCGGTTTCTGTGGTGATACACCTGCAGAATATTCTTATGGAAAGTGATTTTGAAGGGATTCTGCACACACTGCAGCACATCCAGGAAATGCACTGGGAGAGGAAAGAGGTTCAAAAAGTACTTTCTATGTGCTATATTATATATTCGGGTGGTACTCTTTGTGAGGAGTTAAATAAAAGTAAATAGAAACAGTAATAAATACTTATGCGTATGAATAATCCTTAGTAGAGTGATAGTACGAGTGACTTGCCTGTACGGACACTCCATAATTTATACTGTAATAGCGCACTACCACAGGAAGCACAGGATCCGTGCAGTTTTGTATTTCGTGTGGTGAGTGCTTTATAGGAGGGTTATTGTATTTGTTGTATTATTGATAATTTATTCAAATTCAGGGAGTGGTTGGTCTGTGGCTTCAGTTGACATCTGTGCAAACTGCTCAACCATTGCTACATCTACTTCTGCCTCAGGGGGAAGCAGTTCTGAATTTGCCACAAAGAACAGATCTGGCTTCTGGTAGAGTGTTCTGGTGAAGTAAAGGAAGGGTTTGTCGTAGTTGTAGTTACTCTTAGCACTTATGTCAAAGTATACTATATTCTGCATTATCTTTCTGTCTTTCATATGGGCTGGCTTTACTTTCCTGTCTATTATATCTACTTTGTTACCGCACAGACAGAGTGGAATAGTTGGGCAGATAAGGCGTAAGTCTCTGTACCAGTTTGGAACATTCTTGTACGTTATCCTGGACGTGGTGTCAAACATAATAATACCACAGTCTGCACCATAATAGTACGCATCTCTTAACCCTCCAAACTTCTCCTGTCCAGCTGTATCAAACACGGTGTAGTTAACTTGCCCATAATTTGTGTAGAATGGAAGCACGTACGTCTCTGCACCCACAGTGGCAATGTATCTCTTTGTAAATTCCCCTGTTAAATGCCTCTTAACAAATGTGGTCTTACCAGTACCTCCATCTCCTACTAATACTAATTTCTTCAATGGACCATCTAGAATGAATCCTCCTGCCTGCCCGGCGTTTCCAGTTGCTTCACTTTGATTGTTGCTGCCTTGCATAAAAAAGAAAAAAAACTACTATTTATACTTTTAGAAAAAATCAGTTAGTCTTCATTAATATGCACACAGAACATCCATATAAATAATATCCTGCTGTAATAACCATAATACTCATTCAATTGCCATTAATTACTTAATTATATCTAAATACCTAATTATAAATTATTCATAACCCGACATAACCCGATTTTACTTAAATTTCTCTTTTACTTTTTTATTTTATTTACACTTCTGTGCATTACATAATTTTATATTAGTATGCCTTCTGTTAATTAGCCTAATAAGCACAGATACGCTTAGAGTTATAGACAGCGTAGTAATAACAAATTTAAATGATGCAATTTCTGATATTCTATCGAGTATGTTGATTACTGCCATAAGACAAGTAAATGCATACGCATACACCAACATAAGCACAGAAGAAGGTGCTTTAAGCCCTTCTAATGTTTCTATTCTATCAAGAATCCTTGGATTCTTAAGAATTGCATCGATGTCATTATGGTATTTCTTGTCATATGACAGATTATGGTCTAATATGTCAATGGATGTAATATTTTTAAACCTCTTCTTGTGCTGTAAGAAGAAAGTAGGGAAACTAGTTGCTTTAAACCTCAGTGCAAGTATTGGATCATCACTGAAATTAAGCCTTTTAATTGAGAATACGCCCACTTTATAATCTTCAAATGATTCTAACCACTTTTTATATGATTCACAAGAAAAGCAAGTACTTTCTTTAGTATTATAATATATAAATATTAGTGTAGGTGTATTACTATTAAAGTCTTCTACTGTATACGTCTGAATTTCTGTGAATGTTTCTTTTGAATTTTGAATAAGCAATAGAAACACAAAGAAAATAGAAATATTCATACAAAAAAAATACTATACGTATTTATATAATGAATATAACCAAATATAGTAAAATTAGCACTAAATGACCTTATAGTAGTATATTAGTGCTACACAGTAATTAGTCTATTATACTATACTACTTATCATTTTATATACTTAGTCTATCATACTGTACTGCATATTACTTAGTCTATTATCCTGTATCTTATTATCCTATTACATATTATCCTGTATTCTATATTACATATTATACAGTATTCTATATTACATATTATACAGTATTCTATATTACATATTATCCTATCCTATATTACTTAGTCTATTACCTAGTCTATTACTTACTTACTATTCTATATTACTTAGTCTATTACTTAGTCACTTATTATCCTATATTACTTAGTCTATTACCTAGTCTATTACTTACTTACTATTCTATATTACTTAGTCTATTACTTAGTCACTTATTATCCAGTATATTGTTACTTAGTCACTTACTATTCTGTTGTACACTTAGTCTGTTATATGTGAATTATTCTAGAATTTTACTTTAGTTATATTCTGTGGTGTAAAAAATTTTCATGGAAATTCTTACACGAAAGAATAATTTACTAAGAATTAACAGCACAGATGGCAATATTTCTGTTATTAGAAATAATATAACAATGTACAGGAAGAGTGGCAAGTATTCTATACTTACTACACCAAACTATCTGGAAGTACTTGCAAATAAGAAGATTTATCTGAGCTTATTCAGAGAGGTGAATAACGTACATGTCATACCAAATACAGACGTAAAAGGAAAGACTTCTTTAAGTATATATTTAATAGGTGATAAGTACATAGAGCACTTAGAAGATACAATTATACAATCAGATGTAGACACTAAAAGAACCATAAATGACAGCTGTATATACTCTAATGTACTAGTAGTATTACATAATAGTAAAATAGTCATATACAACAAGTACTTAAAGAAGCTAAGTGATATTCCCATGCAAATGAAATACTGTGAGAAGATGAGTATCATAGAATACAATGGAAAGGGACTTATGGGCATACTCAGTTCAACAGAAAGGCGTGCATTAATTATTTATGATAAGGATATAATGAAAGACATTAAACTCACCAAGAAATCAAAGAGTATCAAAATGGTTATACACTCAGATAAACCATTCTGTATACTAACAGAAGGTAATCAGATCAGAATAATTGACATTCTAGGGGATAATGACAGAACAGTAGAAACAGAGCATATTAACAGTATTATACAGGCAGAGTACAGAGATGGCACTATATACACAATATCAACTGAAGGGATAGTCTGCTCATTGGGCATGGAAGAGACACTGTCAACTGCAGTGTATGTAGATGCAGAAGGCATAGAGAGCATTGGTCTATAAGAATAAATTATATAATATGCAATATTCTGAATAATTTCGGGTTATATCGGGTTATTTTATCTTTTATATTTTCGTGTGCTCTTCTGATTCTCATTCTTATTCTATCTTATTAAAAAATTTTCGTATTTAAGGTTTTGTTAATAACTTATTGGTATATGTGTTATAAATAATAAACATTCATTATTTATAAGTCATTATGTAAAATAAAATGTACGCATTTAAATAAAAATAAAAATTATTCACTATAATTTATAACACATTGTGTAATAATAAAGAATTGTTTCTAAAATTAATAAAATAAGGACCGCACTAAAACCATAAATAGATAAAAAATAAAAAAAGAAGGACAGAGGAGAAGAAGAAGAGGAGAAGAAGGAGAAGAGAAGACGATAGAAGGGGGAGATGAGTGTATGAATAGGCAGGTGAGTGGGTGGAGGGGAAGGAGAGGGAAGTAGAAGGAGAGTGGATAGGCAGGTGAGTGGATGGATAGTGGAGGGGAAGGGACAGGGAGGAGATGAGTGGATAGTGGCTGGCTGGATAGGCAGGTGACTGGCTGAGTGGCTGACTGGCTATGTGCATGTGTGGTGTAATGCATTATGTTTATTTCAGGTTATGTCGGGTTATTATCGGATATAGTTATAATATACAGTTAATAAGAATATATGTGACTAATCCACTAATTGATTTAAAAAATTTACTTCCGGTTATTTCGGAGTATAAAAAAATGAAAAATTAAAATATTTTTATGGTAATTAATATTGATGAAAAGACAACACATACCGCTAATCCACAAGAAGTAGCACAAGAACCAAAAGAAGTCAGTACAAAAGTACCAGAAGTATCAGAAACAACTGACAAAAAACCAGAAATGACCGGGGATATTCAGCACGTAGCGGGATCTTCTATAACACAGACAGAACAGTCTCCAGTAATACAAGAAGTCGAAGAATCCGAAGAAGTCGAGTCTCCAGTAGTACAAGAAGTCGAACAAGTCGAGTCTCCAGTAATACAAGAAGTCGAAGAATCCGAAGAAGTCGAGTCTCCAGTAGTACAAGAAGTCGAACAAGTCGAGTCTCCAGTAATACAAGAAGTCGAAGAATCCGAAGAAGTCGAGTCTCCAGTAGTACAAGAAGTCGAAGAACCCGAAGAAGTCGCTGAAGAAGTATCAGAAGTACCTGTTTCTTCAACAGCAGATGAATCATTAGTTAGTGAGACAATAATAAACCGTCCTATTTTCTTAGCAATAGGTTCTGAACAAAAGAAGGATACTACAGACGCCTCAGTAGCACCAGTTAAGACAGAAGAAGCCGCTGCAGGAGCCATAGTGGCAGAGCAGTCTTCAGTAGATGATAATATATCAGAAGAAGTTGATAATGAAGCAGATGATGAAGCAGATAATGAAGCAGATAATGAAGCAGAGGATGAAGAAGAGAATAAGCCAAACAGGTCAGAAGATATTCATCAAGCAGCAAGAGAGGTTTTTGTACCTTTTATAGTGGATCCTAGTGCAATAAACCCGAAGCCACTAGTATCAACCACTTCTCATACACCAGCAGAAGAAGACCAGAAAACTCTCACTCCAGCAGGAGAAGACGACCAGGATGCTACCACTTCTCATACACCAGAAGAAGAAGACCAGGGTACTGCCACTCATACAACAGCAGAAGACGAGCAGAAAACTCTCACTCCAGCAGGAGAAGAAGTAGGCCAGGATACTGCCACTTCTCATACACCAGAAGAAGTAGGCCAGGATACTGCCACTTCTCATACACCAGAAGAAGAAGACCAGGGTACTGCCACTCATACAACAGCAGAAGACGAGCAGAAAACTCTCACTCCAGCAGGAGAAGAAGTAGGCCAGGATACTGCCACTTTACCAGCAGGAGAAGAAGTAGGCCAGGATGCTACCACTTCTCATACACACCAGCAGGAGCAAGCCAGGTTACTCCCCCTCCAGCAGACCAGATTATTCCCCCTCCAGCAGAAGAAGAAGGCGATGCGCCTGTTCATTTCTGGAGTAATCGGGTTATGATTATTGCAGGAGTGATTGTAGTCATTATTATAATTAGTTTTAGTATATTCTTACTACAGTTAGTCAAAACAAAAGGATTTATGACTAATTAAAATAATATATAACCCGATATAACCCTAAATTATATTGGATAATATTAAATTGAATTATACTCTAAGATTAGTGTTATAAACAGTAATAAATATGAGTACACCTAAACTTATACACCTACACATTCTATCTCTATTTATTTACATTCGGGTTATTTTGAATTTATGATATTTAAATATCATAATGTATTCCATAATTATGCTTACTATAAGTATTCCTTCTAATGAAATAGGTCTACTTGAACCCCCTTTAATTCTGCCTAAGCTACTATTACTGATCTAACTAGAAATTATTTATACTGTAATAAGAATGCGTATGTGCTTCAGAGTGGATTAAGTACGTATTTAATTCATTTAGGAAGGCTTCTGTGGTGGCACCACCACCCATGCATGGGCCATGAGGGAGATCTGTCAGTGTGCTATCTTGTACAATGATCATTCTAAAGCAAAGGCCGGTATCTCTGAGTTAGTATGTTAACATATGACTATTTAACTGGAGCACATCCACAATTTAGAGGTGACTATGCAAAGCATTGACGGATTAACTTTAGTACTAGGCCTAGCACAACTACGCCCAGGACTTCGTGTCCGTGCTGGCTTAGACTGTTTCTTAATACAATAAAGAGCTATCTCCATTCACTCTCTTGGCTACGTAGCAGGGTGGTGGTGGCGTGACTCCATGTGAGTACATCAGTTTCATATTAAGACAGAAAATAGGCCAGGAAGTGTACTTTGCCCATTATTACTTTATAAAAACAGAATCCATAATATATTCTGTCTGTATACTGCAATTTACACTGTAACATATTAACAAATGATTCAATTGCTAATTTATGCCTATTGTACAGGACTCTTTTATCATGCACTGTTATATATTTATGCCTTCTATTTTACAATTAAATTATTATCGGGATAGTGACGTATGTTCTGATACTCATGCCGTGGCAGTGATGGTCTTCATATGGATCATATGGATTAAGTATGAAAAAGTCATTATAATAGTACTTAGCAGCATATTTCCTACTTGGTACTTCTGGGTTTACTATTACTGTATAACGTATATCCAGTAGTTGTTGTATGTGCATGCATATACACAGCTGGTTTATATCTGTATAATTCTTTAACCCGCACACATTATAATTAATAGTATTCTCATTATAAGGACCAAGTGCACTAGAAGATACAAAGAGTTTAGAAAGGAATGTGGGAATATAGGACTCTTTGAATTAATATCCATGTACTTCCTTTTTAATTCTGCTGGGTATAAGAACTGTGCACAGTAAGCTTCTGTTTTATAAATGTCTTCTTCAGTGTAATAGAAGAGTACTTTACAGTTATTATCCTTTATAGTGCATATATCTTATGATAATTCAATTAGATTTATTATTAAAGACATAATTCAGTACTTGCAGTATTTAAATGGGCAGACATTCCCTTTGTATATACTGTTCTTATTACTCCCTGTCCTAAATATTATCTTTAAGTCTTCTATTATTTCATTAGTCGTGTGTAAGTAGTACGTCACAGTTATTTCCCTATCCTTTTGATGAATGTATAATGAAAGGTGGATTATTTCAACTGTTTGCATATAATGATTTATAAACTGTATGTGGTCCTAATATCGTGTATGTGTAATAATATACTTTATGGTACGTGTCCCTTTCGATTGGATCCATTTGGTATTCTGATGCATTCCAGGGTATCTTATGCGTACATGGTGTGCTTATTTTATATGGCTGTGTGAAGTATTCGTATAATACAAGTACATTATGCTGCTTATACTCAGTAAATACAGAATTTGCAGTAATACTTTACTACTCTTCTTACGGATGGGTGTAATAATCGTATTTATTTGTGGTATGTGAACTATCACATTTCTAGTAGGGAATGTATTAATTAACATAGGATTATCATACGTTTATTCTTTCATTAGTACACTCAGAATATTCCACGCAAGGGATATCTGGGTTATCATTACTTTCTGTACTTCTTATTTGATCTATAGCCAATAATACGTCTAAATCACTTGTATCCGCTGTATTAGACCTATTTTCATAATCATCCACTGTTAATACTTGGATTATCCCAGGGAATAATGGACTTTTCAGTTTATAACTCCTGTAATTTACCAGAACATTCTGTATAAGAAGTATCCGTACCAGACGTACCGTATTAATAACGATAAAGTAGACATATGCTTAAATTAACCAAAGTATCAAGAAGGATTAATCAAGAATCCGGGTTATTCGGGTTAAATACTTCAGAATTTCATATAATGGATAATTTAATTAATTCAGTGACTGTTATTCATTATAAATAACTGTTGAATTTTTGTGTTAATATGTCTATAATCTCTGCATGTAATCCGTAATTACTCATTCTATAATTACTGCTTTTTATAAAAATAATGCCATCAGAGCTATTCAGAATTTCTTGTTTTTTAATGCAAGTGGGAATTTCAAGGCGTGGATTACCAAAGAAAAGTGGCAGTTTCGGGTTATTTCTTAGTATACCAAAGAGATCCGCAGCAGTAGAACAAAAAATAGGAGAATATTTATAATCTGCATTACAAGGTGTTTTATACAGACAGAATCCATAATTTATCGTATCTCTACTGGGATGTCTTCTAAGCACTGTATCCATAAAGGATGCAATAGCTGGTTTTATACACTTACTGGTACTATTTCTATGATCTATAGATGCACTATTAAAAGTGTATTTAGTGTACTCGCTTATATTTTGACTCATTTTAACTGTCCATTTTATGGTGCAACTAGTATTATTCACAGAAGTATATTCAATATTCATTAAGTAGCAATTTATATCCTCATATATATCATTGGAATTTCGTATGATAAAGTCTGTATAGTAATATTTAGTATATTTAGATGATTCCTGGGCATGTTCAGTATTTTCATTGATTAGGGCACTTTCATTCTGGTTATACTTCATAGTATTCTGGGTTAGTTTGATAGGGATTAAATCTGTATAGAATTGGTCTTTAGCAAATCTATTGGGTGGGATATAACCCGAATATCCTGAGAATATTATAGAAGATACAAGCAGTGGTGATAAAAATGTGGGTATCCTGAAGACTTCATGAGTATTATTAGGCATCTTCATACGGATATTTTCATGGATTATATTTTGTTCTGCACTATCCGCGTGATCAGGATTATAAAACTCAGCGAATATAAGTTCAGCAGTTGACATATTCTCTTCTATTAGATAGAATACAACATTACACCCAGTACTTTCTATTTGTTTTATGGTTTTAGACATATCCTCAGATGTAAAGTTAATTATTGACCATGTTTTAGTGCTATGTGTGAATTTAAATGGGTATATGGCTTTACATTTCTTATTTGGCTGCCGGGTTTCTTTACAGTATAATATATGCAAGTACATCACAATATCCTTAATGCTATGGATGCACACTAGAAGTGAAGAATTTTCATCACTTTTAATAAAGAATGGGAGATGGACCATTTCAATGGTTTGTTTAGTAATATCTACAAACTGTACGTGATAATGATAATTAATTGAGAGTGGGATGAACTTCTGCCTGGAGTTTACGTCAAAGTACAGGTTTATATTATTTACAACAAATCTATTATTTACGTAGGTGTATTCCAGTACTTCTGCTTTAAAATCGTAATATTTATCTGATAAGATACTTCCACCGAGTAAGCAGTGACTACCATCACTTGATAGAGCCATATGCTTCATACTTTCTAATGAGCTAAGAGAGTATCTCCAGTCATTTTCTACACTTGCCAGATTTGATGAGTAGTAGTAGAATTTACTCATCACAAATAATACGTAGTTAAACACATTGGGCAGGCTATTATTCTGAGAATTTCCTTTAAATATCTTATCCTTTATGATAAAGAAGTGCATATCAACTAATTCTGTGTTTTTTTGTGCTATGCCTATAAGATAGCTTATAACACTAAACATAATAATTATATCACATGCTTGGATATTCTCTGTTGTGTTGACTTTAAGTACATTCTGTTTTATTAAGTGTATTAAATGGTTTACACTTTCATTTGATATAATGCGCATATCTTCGTATATCTCTGGTATACACAAAATATGGTTTAATTTAATCTTTAACTCTCCATCACTATCCTCACTTGTGCAAGCATTCTGCTGCATAACTATCATACTGCTTAAGCAGTAGTACATATTTATTCTTTTTTTAACCCATATGTCACCAAGAGTCTCTTTTTTATTTAAATGCATACCAGGCGCAGATGCAAAAATAGTAAACTCCTTGTATGAGTATGTATATGGACCATGTTTTATAGAGTACTCTACTATATCTTTAAGAATATCTGGGTAGTATCCAGGATTTGTTTTTTTACCTATCGTATTACTACTATTACACAAGTATTCTTTAATAACAAAGATTCTCTCAGTAATAGAATCTCCTAAATCTTTAATAAGAAGCCATATATTCTTAGAATTCTCATTAGACCAGTGCTTAATGAATTCAGCAGACCTATTTACTACAGCAGTATTCTCTATTTCATTCTGTACATTCCTAAACTTAAACTTACATATATTCTTAAAAATACAATTTCTTTCTAGAGAGTGTACATCTAATTGCTTATTACACCGATAGTTTAAATAGTATATAATACCATTAGCTTTATCTATATTACGTGTTTTATATGAATTCACTTCACTTTTTCTTATAAATGCACTATTTCTTCTTCTAATTTCAGGTAAGTTAAATTCTTCTTTATTTAATGATTTTGCCAGTGCTTCTAATATACACATACCAGCACTTGCATTCTCTGCCAAGTATACTTTATTAGGTAAATCTGAATTTTGGTATACATTCTGGGCCGATGTACCTTGTTCTCTTTCTGCATTATATACATTATTTATGCAATCTAAGTCCCTTTCATTTTTTCTTTTATACCCTCTTCCATTTGATTCGTTTTTATCTGCTGTGCCTATTACTGCCTGTATATACAATAGCGCCATAATGAGCACTTCTGTCCTAGATTTCATTATGCTTAATATTTTTAAAATTAAAAGTCCGTAAATAGTTAAATTTGAATTATATCGGGTTATGCTTATTATCTGATTTTATTCAAGTTATAAAAGAGTAATGCGTGCGTTCAATATTGGGATGTTTAATGAATTGATTGAATTTCCCGGGTTCGGCATGTATTTTGTGAACATAGTGGTTTCTCTGTTGTAAATGAACATAACTGAAGGTATTTCTTCTGTATTCTGCATTACAGTGAAGGATAAATTAATCCCTATAAGTTGTCTTGTGTATATTTTATTATACTTACCTAAAGAACTCCACCAAATATGTGCACTTTTATTAAATTCGTCTGAAACCGTTGTATTAGTTAAGCCATGCTCTTGTATTATACGCATATGGTCAAATAACAGTGCTGCCTTTTCACCTTCCTCCAGCCCGAAATTTAAAGAACGCATTGACACTATAAACTTTAAAAGCAAGTACTGGATACAATCTTCAATAGTTGTATTTAGTGTTTCAATGAAGGAAATACTCATTTTTTTCTTATAATCAGGGCTCTTTATGTTTATTTCATTAACTTCTTTAGATACAATACTGTGTATAAACTGATTATTTATAATTTCTGGGGCGGCTACTTTTATTTCTTGCTTTATATTAAGCTCTATGAATACTTCTGAATCTGACTTTAATTTCTGTGCGTATCCTATAACACTCATATTTAATGCAGAATTTATATGGACGGCTTCTAAGTCCACAATCGTATCAAAGATTAATATATATTTATACGGAACTGGGTTTGGCATTGCACTCAGATTCTGTATCCATTTAGTCAATCTGTTCATTAAATGGATTTCTTGTGAGAGTATTTTGTTATACTGCGATATAAAAGCACTGCGGTTTGCTGAGCCGTATACTTTTAATGGGAATAATATTTCAACGCTAGTTATAGACAGAATCCTCTTACCACTAGTATCTCTACCCGCCAGATACAAAAAGTTAAGAAATTCATTCGCACAGTATGTAGCCACTCTAATTGTATCTGCTTTAAACCCGAATTTAAACGTATCTGAATGATTAGGCACTGTGTAAATAGACCGCATCATACGAATATGTTCTATAGTCTTTATGCAACAAAGCGTTTCATACTCTAAATACAGTGAGTATGCAAGAGTCTTATTTAAAGAAAGAATATCATTAATAAAATGGTTGATATAACTATCCCTCCATAACCAAGCATGAATACTGTATAATACATCCATGCAATCACATGAAATATTATATTCATTACAGCACACATCACACTGTTTAACAATCAAATATAGATTAATCCAATTAAGATATATAGCTCTGTACATTTCGTACAGGTACAATTGCGCGGTCTTTACGTCAGATACAATAATATTCAATCGGTGCACTTTAAGATATATATTATTAGTCTTAGTAATTAAGTATACCGGATGGTTTGAATCAGAAAACAAAGGAATGTCTATAATATTAATGAATGAGCCTGCATTACACAGTGACAAACTTTCCAGTGAATCTATTATATCTGTGCATATGCTAAACCTGGTTAAATCCTGTGCATGCCTGAAAATAACATCAGGATACTTTTTTTGCTGACCATTCGACCTATCCACATAAAACCCAGTAATCTTACTTTTATAAATATTCCAGTTATCTATGAAGTTTCTTGGGTCAAATGCAAATTCAATTTTGAATTCATGCAGTGCCCCCATTTTCATTATGCGCAAAGATTTCTGTGTATTTTGTATAGGTATGCTTTTATATGTACTATGCATCTGTTTCTGTGCAGTATTTATGTATTCATACGTACTTTTTATTTTATGTATAAATAGGAGTATACAGCAGGCAATGCATGGATTCTTGAATATGTTCATAATTTACAAAATAGAATTTTAGATAAAAATGAAATAATGAAATAATTTTTAAATTACTGTTATACAATATGTCATTTATCCTCTGGTGCACAATTAAGACACATTAAAAAATCGGGTTATTCGGGTTATATAACTTTAATTTCCGTATATAACAACTGTATATGACTTCACACGTGTACGCGTGTGGCTTTCACATTAGGCATAGTTTATCGTATGATAGAAAACAATATATTTCAAAATTCAGAAAATATATTTACATGTGTAGTATAAGTATGTACTGACATTTCTTAGTGTTTTAACTTATTTACAGTCTTATATCTTAGCAATAACTATACAGATTAATGAGAACGGGCATAATTAATAAAAGAAATATCAATTATAATTCTACAACAAATTAAATTTCATATTTTAGAAGTCTTTTATAGTACTAATTTATATTTTGAATACCATTCTTTGTTAGTTATGACATTTACATATCATAAAGTATATTTTAATTGGTTTATGCATTATATTAGTTAAATAAAAAATTCAAATGGAATTAAGAGAATTATACACGTTGGTTCTCTGTGGACCCACGGAGATCATACGTGCCCTAGCAGTGGCATTACACCATTTGAAATAATGCAACAATTGGTGTGCTAGCAATATATGTGTATGCATTATTTGTGATATGAATACGCTTGTAGTGTTATAAATAATCAGGGCGGAAACTATATAAGAGTTTCTGGAGCTTAATAAAGAAGATTAATTATGACAAATAGAAGTTCACACTCACGAGGAAGAGGGAAACCAATTATAGATAATAGATAATGTTGTATGCTAAGACTAGCATAATAGGAATATTATGAGTTATTTAATTAATATTCATAGATTGCATATATGAACTATATTCAATTATAATAGAATCTAATGGGTTAATATAACAACCGAAGATATTTATGCTTCCTTAATAGGACAAATTAAATTATTTAAAGTATAAATTTAAATTTAAAATTAAATAAATGCTAAAGTTTAAGATACCCTTTCCCAAGAAAACAACTAATAAGAGAGATTTATATAGAATAATAATCATGTGCACAATGTACATCGCACATATTTTATTTATAGTCCAAAATATATCTGAAATTGGCTTTAATGTACTGTGTAGCACTAATAATGAGGTTGAAATAGAACTTAACCCGAATGGGCCTTTATTTCATAATGCTTTATATATTGCATATAAGAATCAATTTATATACAACAAAGTAATATGGGCAAAGGAGGTAGAGAAGTATTTATGTAAGCTAGAAAAAGGAGAATTAGAAAAACCAGATGAATTAGATGGAATAGAAAAACTAGATGAAATAGAAAAACTAGATGGATTTAATATATTAGAAAGACTAGATAAATTAGATGGAATAGAAAAACTAGATGAAATAGCAAATGTGATGGGTGGACCAAGATTATATATTAAAGATGTAATTGTAGAGAGAAACAAAATAATGATGAATATATTGAAAAACAAGATACAAGAGGCTGATATTTGCAAGGATCAAGATAGGAGGAAGTATTTAATAGAATACTCTCATCAGCTACTTTTGCTTTTTCCATCTAAATATGGTATTTTTTCAACTGTATCTGAGAAGGAAGACTCACTTTCAAATTATTTATTAGGACAATTAGATCCCACTTATAGTAATCGCACTGTGGCTGCTCTTTTTATTTTGTCACAGGGGGTGGACTTACCCATTGAAGTAAAAAAAGAAAAAGATGGAAGTAGAACAATAAACCTTGTTCTAAATGAGAAAGAAGAGAAAAAAGTCTATATTAAACAAAAAATTTCTATAAGTAAAGAAAATGCAAGAAACCCAGAGTACATTACAGAAATAGAACAGCTTATAAACTTTCTGCGGGACTGTATGAAAAATCCTATATTCTCATTAGACAATCCAAAAGGGATCAAGGAGCCTACTGCGTATGAAGAATTTATGACAGGCGACTTTTTGAACACTCCACAGTTTCTTATTCAGTCGTACATATATGAAATACTTGATGATAACATCGTGTACAATGATATTATGGTAGAAATCGTGAATATTTTAATTTCTAATATATATTTCGAGTCTGATCCAGATCTAGTAGAAAAAAGCAAACAACTATATAATAAGTGCTTTTTACAATTAGATAACGAGGATCAAATAAAAATATATAATAATACGGTTAAAAAATACTTGGCGGATATAAAAAAATTAGATTCGAATGAAAGCAAACACCCGTGGATTCCCTTTAAGCATAGATATTCTAATCTTACACACACGCGTGTACAAAAGCCTAATCTAGATACAGCTGAATCACAGATTGCAGCCGAAGAAGATGCGAAATACTCTAATACTGTAGAATTTGCTCTGCTAACACTATTCTGCTGTATGATGTATGATCCAGTGGATAACAAATACACCACAGAGCATCTATCCGAAACTTTTTGTTTAGATGTAAAAGAATTCTTCAAGAGGCATGATGACCCAGATCAGAAAATTACCCAGAAAATGCAGCAAGAGTGGTCTAACATACTTTCGAATTTAAAGGATTCAAGCATTCGCTATAACAAAGACAAATATGAACTAAAAAGCGGACTTATAAATATTTTACATGTTATAAAATGCATAGCCGGTGATGAAAAAATGGTTAATAAAGCGATTATGCATGTGAAAGGAGAGAGTAAACTTCGCTCCTCTGGCCGGCCTGACCCACGCAGTAAGATAGACAAGTTGCTTATAAAATTGTCTAAAAGCACAGACTTGCATATAGATGAGTATTCATTTAAAATGGAAAAAGTATCTGAAAATGAATCAGACTTTTTTGGAAGGATTTCATTGATATATGCGTCGGATAAAAGGCGAAATGGACTGATTTTTACTATATCTCAGACGCATATGGCTATAGATATATATCCTGAAGAGGTCTTTGATTTAGACTCCCAGGAAATTTATGACCAGGAAAGTAACCTTATTCTTTATACAGGCTTCGCTAGTTTCATAACTAAAAAATATGAAAATCCTACTAGCTTTATAGAATATGTAATACTACAACGTGCAAAAATACATGAAGAAATAATTGGGGCTAGACAGTATGCAATACAGTATGTTCATTCAGATTATGTTAAAGAATGGATACGCGAAGATAAAAATCTGCCAATAGACTTTATATTTCTGCAAGGAAGAATAGCAGATATGATGGATTAAAAGTAATACATTATCATATATTTTCGGGTTATTTTTAATACAAACAGTTTATTATTATATGATGTGTGGAGTCTCAGCTGGATAGATGGCTGGTACCACATACTTGTTCCGTATACTTCATTATCTCGTTATGTTTTAGAATTCTTTGATAGTACGGGGCATTGCTGTCCTTTCACTAGGAATGGCTTCTCTTGTTGGGCGAACTTCTTTAAATTCTAGCATCAACGGCCCCCGTATAGATCGATAATGGGCGCTTGTACACACTTAGAAGTGTATGGTTTGTGGTCTTCGAATGAGTGAGTCCTTGTTGGAATGAACATGCCGTGTATTATGATCCTTCTCCAAGCGAGAATGTCTGATCCCTGGTCTGTTGACACTCGCTCTCACGCTCTGGGTAGTTTAATGCTTTACTAAGTAATCATAATATATTGTATATTATGTTATGATTATTCGAATTATACTGTAATCTCGCCAATTTAGATAGTAGAATCAGAATACACCCCACATACTCTGGGCATAGTCTATGCGCATAGGACTATATACAGAGTATTATAATAATATTTATGAATGGATTCAGAAATATAAATTATTTTCTATCTGGGCATAAATAGGCCAGTAATAGAATTTCTACAATAATTATAAATATAAGAAAAATTCAAATACAATTTTATTAAAGAATCCAAATATCATAAATATAATGTTAATTCTCCATGGACATATGAATATCCTACTTTAGAAGTGAAATTAACCACTATAAAGACAATACAACAATTAATTTAAGAGACCTCTTTGACAGATTTATTAGGAGATAGTCCAATGTCATTTGTAATAATGCCATATTCATTAGAATCATAAATTCTGTCAAATAAAACTATATAATCGTTTCTGAAAATCAATGAATAACAAGTTTTAATTATGCCAAACAGCAATTTACAATTAAAAAATGAAAATTGGGCTATATCTTTTTTATTTTTTAGTTTTAATATTAAAGATATGCATATAAGAAAGAAAATTGTTATTGGAATGATTATTTTATGTAAGATATACTGTAAACTAGAAACAAGTAGCTATGTGTCGTTGCATAATAAAAATATTGATGGTAAAGGATTGAAAATTCGACTGGGGGGGTCTTTATCTCCAATAGGCCCGTTCTTTTCTGAGAAGCTTAATCTAATGCGTGCAAAACGGTATTTTTCGTCGGAGATGGATATACAGTACAATCTAAATATTTATGCTACGAATAATGTGTGGGAATTAATAGACTTTAATAGAAAATTCAATAGTGATACTGCTCATTCAAAAGAGATACTTGCTAAGCACTGCAAGAATCCAATTTATATTAGAGATTATCACCAAACAATAGCACACTTATTTCCTTCTTTACTTAGCAATCTATCTATATATACGTGTGGAAAGAATTCATTCATGAGGTTTATTCAAAGTGAGCATGTGGATGAGCACAGACTTAATATTTTAGCCTCATTATTTTTATTAGCAGAGGGTGTGGATATACCACTGACTGTAGAAGGCACTGGGTCGAAACAGATGCTAGTTCTAAAGGACATTATCACTGGAGAAGAGAAATTCTCTTTAAGCATGCTTGCTATGTGCAATGTAAAGTATGCTGATAACACAATGAAGGATGTTAAACTAATACAACGAAAGGCTGTTAGTGTTATAAAATTCTTTATAGACAATAAAACGAATCTAGATATACGGGAAGGAGGTGAATATGCAGAGCCTAAAACCTATGAGGAGTTTAAAACTGGAAAGTTTTTATGTAATTCTAGATGGCTAATACAGTATTATATATTTGAGTACTTGGAGAGTGAAGATAGTACAGTTGAACTTGCAAAAATCGTGTATTCTATGCTTATGGAGAGTATAGAAAAGAAAAAGAGTGAAGAGAGTGAAGAATCAAATGATGAAGTGAAATATTTGGAAAGCATTGTTAATAAGTGTTTTGTGAGGTCTAATGGGATGTGTCTAAGAATTGGAGGATGCGTACATTGGACTTGTTGTATGGCAAGGACTTTTTATGTGATACATTTTCATTTATGGGTATTCATGATTTTCCACTCTATAAATGTGTTCCCTCTTATAATAGAAAAGAAAATTCCTTTAATAATAGTATTCTGTACAGCAATCATGCTGAAGTAGAATTACTTTTCTTGTTTTTCTATTTGGCATACGATCCGGTGAAGAAAGAATACACTACAGAGCATATGGGAAATGTATCACCAGATTTGAAGAGGTTCTTTACCAAATATAAAAAGCCATCTGATACAATTACATATGCGATGCACAATGATTGGAGTAAAGTAGTAGCTGATCTAGACAACAAAAACATTATATATGTCAACGCCAATAGAAATAAACTTGCCACGTGTATAATAAATACACTATATGTTGTTTCTGAAATAACTGGAAGGTATTCTATAGAGAAAAAGACTCTTAATGAGTTTAGAACCCTTCTGAAAAAAAGCGGATGTTTGAGTAATTTAATAGAAACAGTAAAGGAATATGCAAAGAATCTATTTACATCACTCACTAAAGAATCCAGTCTATCAATTCAAACTCTTTTATTACTGACAAACAATGAGAGTTCTAGTGATACTAATAAATGCAAATCAGCTTTAAAAAAAATGATAAAGAAAGAGATAAGAGTAACCATATCTAATATATCTAAAGAAGAACTGGATTTAGATGGTAAATTGCTTCTAAATGGAAAATTGACTATAATACACGAGTATCCTGAGCACTGTAGGCTAAAGATAGAATTATGCCATCTAAACTCTTATACACCCATTAAAAACACACTCTGCAAACACATTCATCTAAATAGTTCTAAGAGTGCTGCTGCAATTGATATAATCGATTCTATTAATAGAGAAACAAATAATAGTCTGTCCGATTATATAATTAAGCATATCTTAGAACAAGCACTGCCTAATAATTCTACTAAGAAGAAAAATAAAGATTCGTGCACAGAAAATATGAGCCTGGCAAACGACAACAATATATCCTATCCAATTGACAAGTTCTTCTTGTACAATTCAATGGAATTAGAACACAATTTGCTAAAAACAATACATCACATTAGAAGTTGTCTCTTAGGGCATCCTCTAGAGAAAACTGACCCGTGGGCCCGAACTATTTCTAATATGATAGGAGACCTTTCTCTATATAAATTTAATACAATTGTGAAGATGGTCTTCACTTCAATGTATCTTGGTGGATTATACAAAAACTGCACTAAAGAGATGAATATACCTGATAAAACAATTTCTAGTGATCATTATTTAGTAAATGAACTATATAAATATATTGTTTATTTACAGAAAAGTGGGTCTACTACTGGCAGTGTAGAGCTTATAAAGGCATATTTGGCAGCAGGAGATCGAATGGGGCAAATCTTTTCCTTTTTCCTAGAAAGGGGGGTATCACCCGACTATACCAAATTCCTCTCTGTATTGACACTAGAAGGCACAACTATAGAATATTTGGATGAAATTGCAAAATTTATAGATAGTTTAGACAAAAACAATCCAAAGTATAAAAATCTTGAGCCTTCTAATGATGTATGGATTATTTGGCTTAAAATGTCCTTTAAGTCAAATATTTTTGTTCCGGTTATACAAGAAATCTTTGATAAAATTACTATTGATGATGCGCTTTTGAGCAGGAATAAAGACAAACTTAAACATCCTGAAAAGACTAATGATGAATTATTGAGTTTGTTTGTACAGTCTAATACACTGTATAAAAAAATGATAGAAACTGTGAAGTCTCTAATAGAGAAGTATCCTAAATATTCTGAAATATTTTATTATACAATGAAGAGGTATTAATAATACGGTCTAAGTTAAATAATGCACTATTTTAAATAGAGAGAATACTATATGAGTTACTCGGATTATTCGGGTTAATTAATTAAACATATATGCTTAAACATGTACAGTTGTTTTCTTAGGAAAAGGCATTCTTAAACTTTGACTTTTATTGAATTTGTATACGTATTTATAGACCGTAAAATCTATTTAAATTATGTTGCCATGTTGTGTAACAATAATTTCTGATCTAGTCTGAGCTGGCATGTTTATGTAAAACATTACAATAACTCATGTCATGCTAACAAATGCTATTCTTAGCATACAACATGTACTATATTGTATTTTAGCCTTAGAAGGTTTATTTTCTTTATAATGGCATGTACTGTTTAAATACTAGTATTCTTGGTTCAGTATGCATTATAACGCTCTAAGTATAACTTAATAAAATTAGTCATTTGTGCATGTTTTAACTTATGATTTAGTGTCTGTTCTATATAATTGTTTTATTGTAGTTCTAGGCTGTTATATTCCTATTTGACTGGTTTTAGTTATATCTGATAAATCATTTAATTTTTACTCTTTGTTTCTTATGGTATTATTAATAATTAGTTTAATTCCTTTATAATATAATCAGAAATTGAAATAAAAATAATTTATCCTTTACAAAAATAATAAAAATAATACACTTATAATAGAAAACAGTCAAAGACAGACAGACCATCTATTAAAGTAAGAAGAAGCCGGTGATGGCGAGTTTATTCTAGCAAATTCACAGGCACTTTAATCCTGTAAATATCTTATTCTCTGGTATATCTTAAGCATATTTAAGATATAATAATGTATAACAGACATATTCTCTGTATATAATACACTGTATAACCAATACATTTATTATATACTGAGTTTATATTGATTTTTAGTCTTTTTGTTATAACAGAGAAAAGTATTCATTTTAGTTATAGTGTAACTTAAATGAAGTAGCTAGAAAATTTACTAACCCTTCCAAAGGAGTTATAAGTGCACACAAATAACAGAAATATTTCAGAGTATATTCAAATATCCAGGTATTTCAGGTTATTTCGGGTTATTTTTAATAATTCTGTGTTAAATATGTGTATTCTTCTGTAATATTTAAATAATTTTAATTTTAAGTGTGCTCAGCATAATGAAATTCTGTACGGATTGGTTTTATAATGGAATTTCATTGTAGAATTATTTAAACATTTGGGTTATTTTTGGAGTATACATATTTAACGTAAATATTTATGTTGTATGCACGTATAACAGAATCTTCTGGGTCATGTTGACTCGTTTCTTTTGCAATCTATGGCCTTATGTCCTTGTACACCGCAGTAGTAGCACTTACCAAGGAATTTATTGCACAGTAACTGCCATTTACTCCTTTCCTTTTTTAGTCTCTTTTTACGTTTATATATGTCCCTGTCTTTCTTTATACATGCAGATTTAAGTGCGTGCAGAGCATTTTCTAGGCTTTTACTTTCTTTCTTCCACGCGCTCAAGAACACACAGGAGTACTTGTAATAATTCTGTGATAATTCCAAGTAGACGTCTCTGTAGGTGTGTGCATTCCCATGTACGTATGCAGAGAATGCGCTGAACCATGTGATATTCTGTCTTTTTTTGAGTTCTTTAAAGGCCGAGAGTGTTGGGGGGTTTTTTAGTGGGGAGAGTGCTACAATGTCTATGTAGTTAAGGAAGGCTTCTATAAAGAAGTCCCAGTCTTCCTGTGTCCAGGCGCTGAGTGTTTTATTCACTGCTTTTATTTTTTGGTTTACAGCTACGCAGATGTTCTTTTCTACATACGTGGTTCTTCTAGATAGCTCCATGCACAGGAAGTACAGCTTGCTTTCAATTGAGTACTCAGCCCATCCGTAAGGGGTTTCATTCAAATACCGAAGTGGTTTTTCTACTTCCTTTCTTCCATGGATAAGTATCATATTATTCAGTATCCTCACAACAGAGTCGTGCTGTGAGACAGCAATTCTTTCAGGCACTCTTTCTGTAGAGTAGTAATATTCATGTTCTTTTCCAAATTGTATTTTTTCTAGTTGTCCCATATGGCAGTATACATTATCTACTATATTTAATTTATATGCTGCATTATTTGCTTTTCTGATTTCCATTAGTTTATTTATTTATCTCTTTTGTTTATTCATATGTGCGTATACGTGTACATTTCTTTGTTTTCTCTTTGTATATTTTAGTATTTATACGTTATACATTGAAATATTTGAACATACCATAATTACAGCAGTTATTATGAATTTAAGTCTATTACTGGTGTAAGTATTGCATAGAATGGGCAATTTCAGTTATTTACAGACTATTCTTGGTTATTTTTGAAGTATTATGAAACTAGAAGAAGCAGCAAGAAAGGGAAAATTAAAGCACTTAAAGAGAAAGGGGAAGGATCGCTTTAATATTACTGCAGAATAATAGAACATTCAACAGGTCAAAATAAATCACATAATAGAAGGGTAAGAGTGTGGACGGGCATAAAGAAGGGTGGCTCCGGGAATCGAACCCGGCACCTCGTGCACCCGAAGCACAAATCATACCACTAGACCAAGCCACCTCTAAAATTTATGGCAATTCTGTGAAACCAGCCGGTTCTTCTTTAGTAGAAAAAGAATAAAGATTTACTTTTTTTTAGGCCATGATGAACAGAGCAGTAAGAGTAGGTGGAAAAAAAGCACCAAGAAGAGCACCAACCAAGAAGCAAGTAGATGCAGACAATGACAAGGGATTCATGACCGCACTCTCTGCTGGTGGGTACAAATGCAACGAGGTAAAGGATGTAGACTGCTGCAGTTTCATGGCTGACACAGATTCCGTTATAAACTACAAGACTCCAGAGGTAAAGGCCGTTACCAAGGACAATGTAGTAATTGGGTACCTTATTAAAGGAAAGGGCGAATTACTAGGAGAGAACAACAGAAACTTTGACCTAGACTCTATTATCAAGTACCTTTCTTCAAAAGGCGTTAATGTAGAGGAGTTAGTTGAGAAGGTCCAGAATGGAGACAAGAAAGCATTAGAAGAGATTCTTGAGCTGGTAAAGACTGCTGCCATTGAGGAGGACAAAGAAAAAGAAAAAGAAGAATCCGAGAAGGCAGAATAAGTCTAAAGAATAAATATCATACTGTAGCCGTGATTACGTAGTATTTATATATAATACTGAATAATAAATAGAAACATATGATATAATATACAGAATATTTAATCTGATTTTATAATGAGCTTACATAAGCACTTACCTGAACAGGAAATATACTACAATTTTTATACTGGTTTTATCCTAATATCAGTTATTTACTGCACAGACCAGAGCAAATTACAGATTATTCCCGTCAATACTATTCTGTGTCGGCGTAGGCCAGTTCATTATTACAGTAGCAGAGTAAATATTCAGTTAAGTTTTAGTTTCTATTTAATTTTCATGCAGAGGGATGTTCACTACAGAAAAGCCAAGAGTGAAGGATACCGTGCCAGAAGTGCGTATAAATTACTTGAAATAATAGAGGAGTACAATATTCTAGAGAATGTTCAGTCAGTGATAGATTTATGCGCTGCACCCGGCAGTTGGAGTCAAGTTATTAAAGAGAGGCTTCCCCATGCCCACCTTCTCTCTGTGGACCTACAAGACATTGAGCCAATTAATGATGCGATTATTGTAAAGGGCGACATAACCTCAGACAAAACTATTTCAGAGATAAAGAATACGTTCGGTGCAAGGGTAGACTTAATTCTATGTGATGGTGCACCAGAAGTAACTGGTTTACACGACTTAGATGAATATTTCCACTCTTCATTAATTACTGCCGCGTGTTCCTTATCACGCACTCTTCTTTCACCAAGTGGCTGTTTCGTCATAAAAGTATTCACGGGGAGCGACCCAGAAATTCTCATGGAGGATTTAAAGGAGTATTTCTCAGAAGTATTAATTGTAAAACCAAAAAGCAGCAGAATAAAGAGCAAGGAAGCTTTTGCAATATGCCATCAAATCAGAATTCCAGAATAAACAAGAAATCCCCAATAATATCATAATAATCCCATAAAATCAGTTATTTATACAATACATTCAGGTTATACCAATACATTCATATGGTTATAGTGTAGTACTAGTATAAGTATATAGTAGTATAGTATGAGTGCATGGTTATAGTGTAGTAGTATAGTATATGCATATGGTTATATAGTAGTAGTATAAGTATAGTAGTATATGTATAGTAGTATATGTATTATGTATTATATCATATATTGTCTCTATTTATCTATTAGGGTTATATACGTTGTATTATAGTGATATATCCATATTCACTTCTATTTCTTACCTATCTATTACTTATTCTATTACTTATATTCTGTCTATTTACTCTTCTATTACTTATATTCTGTCTATTACTTATATTCTGTCTATTTACTCTTCTATTTCTTCTATTTCTTATTCTATTTTGTATTATAATGGCAATAATTTATTTTTGTTAATGGATTTGTCTTATTTCTGTTCTCTTCTTAACCAGGCTGAGAAGTGTGAGATATTTAATCTTCTATTAGAATATTCAAGAAGTTTAGATAAATTAGCATTCTTTATTAACAGGGCAGATGAGTACAAACTTATTCTATTACTTACCTGTAAAGACACTTCATTATTTATTCAAAAAAAGAAGCACACATTTTATACTTCATTACTTATAGGAGGACTATTTGGTATTCTATCAGGAGTGCTTTTAGGGTATAATATGTAGTATATATTACACACTGTATAATAAGTTGTAGTATATATTACACACTGTATAATAAGTTGTAGGCTATGTAGTATAAGATATATTGCACATTATATAATAAGTTATAAGTTATGTAGTATATATTACACATTGTATAATAAGTTGTAAGTTATGTAGTATATATTACACATTGTATAATAAGTTATGGTTAATGATTTACTTTTTCTTATTACACATTGTATAGTATGTAGTATATTTTATATATTGTATAATAAGTTGTAGTATATTAGTGTATGTTTATTAAATTATTTATTCTTTATATTATTGTTCTTTTTACATATTGTATAATAAGTTATAGTATATTTATAAGATATATTACACAGTGCATAATAAGTTATAGTATGTTATATTAATTATAATACATTTACTATTTAATTTTATTTATTATTTATTGTATAAATAATCTTATCTTTTATTTACTTATCTCTCTCTTTTTCTTTCTCCCTGATTTACATCCTCTCTTTACTGTTCTTTATTATGCTTATCTTTAATGCCCAGTCAATTGCCCCATCAATCCTAATGAATATCTCCGTTAGTTTGTCACTGGGAGTATCCTCTAACATCCACAGCAGGAACAATCTCTTCTCCTCTTTCTTCATTTCTGTTATAAATTCAATCAAAAGTTCTGCTACTTCCTGTACTCTCCAATTCTCAGTCACTCCCTTTAATATCCGCACTACCCTGTGCAATGGATGTATCACTAATGAATTACACTCTGCATTACTTATTACACTATGTGTACTATTTAATCTATTATTTATTACACTATGTGTACTATTTAATACATTATTATTACACACTGTATTATATTTATTATTTATTACACTATGTGTACTATTTTCAAATATTATATTTTTAAATACCCTATGCATAAGAAGTATTTTTGAGGTTGTTGACCACCCGTCCGTTATCCAATTAAGCACTTCAGTAAATAGTTCTGGTGAGTACTTTATAACGTACTTCTTTAAATTTACACCAAGCACGTCTAAATTATCCTCACTCCTCACCCACTCACCAAAATTTGCATCGTATTTTGTATCCATTTGTTTAATTGTTCTGTCTACATCTGCTGCTGTTCTCATTACTCCTTAATTACTTGTAGTATTTATATTTAATTTATTGATTAATTAGTCCATAAATAGAAATTAATATTACTGGATGTGGAAATAATTTTAAGGGGGGAGCTGTCAAATGAATTTCCAAATTTAGAAAAATATCAAAGATTGGTCACATAGTTAATAATATAATACAAGATATAATACACATAGTATAATAAGTAGTATAAGATATAATAAACATAGTATAATAAGTAGTATAAGATATAATAAACATAGTGTAATAAGTAATATAGTAAGATATAATAAGTAATAAATAGTACATATAGTGCAATAAGTTATGTATAGAGTGCAATAAGTAGTATAATATACAAAGTACAATAAGTAATAAGTAGTATACGATATAATAAGTAATACACATAGTGTAATAAGTTATGTATACGATATAATACACAATAAGTAATAAGTAGTAGTAAGTGTTATTTATTATGTATAGTGCAATAAGTAGTAAGTTATATTATGTTATTTATTATGTATATTGCAATAAGTTATGTAAAGAATAAATAATTTTATATTTTATTATATTACTATTATATATATTATTTATTATGTGTAGTGTAATAAGTGTTATTTATTATGTACAGTGTAATAAGTTATATTCTCCTATTAAATCATTTTTTATTCATTTATCATTTAATAGGGGAATAAAGGAGCCAGGAGAAGCATGAATTATTTATAGAAGTATTTCATGGGGAAATAATGAATAGAAAAGAGTCACTTAGAGATAAAATATTCAGAGGATTATTCTTATTACTATCAGGGTTCATTGTACTATCAGTTGCATAATTTATTATATAATACATAATAAGTAGTATATATTATAACACATAGTATAATAAATATTATACCAAACAATTTATTATTACACTATGTATAAAAAGTATCAATAAATATATTATTACTTATTACACAACGTACAATATATCTTATTACATATTACACTATTACTTATTACACAGTATATCATAAGTTATAAGTTATAAGTTATAACTAACCAATAATCATTACTTATTATACAACATACAATATATCTTATTACTTATTACACAACATATCATATCTTATTACTTATTACATATTATCTCCTATATTTTATTACTTATTATACAACATATCATATTTTATTACTTATTATACATTATCTCCTATATCTTATTACTTATTATACATTCTCTCCTATATTCTATATTTATATTTTTGCATTTTTTATTACCCCATGAGTAATAAATCTTTGATGACAGTATTAAAAGTACTTGGTCCAGTAATCCTTCCGATCCTGTTCGGAATGTGTTTAACCTCCATTAACGTATTATGTAATATACCAGTACTCTATACATCCACTGAGTCTAAATTAGACCAGTTAAGCCACTGGGAATTTGTATCCCCTGCTCTATTCATGGGTACATTCACTCTCTCCTTAGTCATATTCATATCTGGTATGTACAGAATCATACCACACCCATACTTTAAGTATATATTCACTACATCCGCTGTATGTATATGTATAAGTAATATACTATTTGTATACATAAGGAATAATATACTACTAAGTATATGCAGATACTTTATAGGGATAGGTACAGGCATAGCATGTGCACTTGGTCCTGTATATTATACTGACTTACTTGGCATGGTTAATGGATCAAAAGTATCCTCATTACAAGGCTTATTCATAAATTTAGGAATATTAATAGAAGGGGTTATATCGGGTTATTATAATAATTCCACTTTTATATTTAAGGTTATCGCTGGGATCAGTTTTATTTCAATTATTATAAATATTTTATTTACAGAGAATTCAAAAAAACAAAATAATTTACGGATTATCCGGGCATCTGGTGATGTAAATGTAATAACCCGACATAACCCTAAATTATTCATTATATCCTGCCTTATCATGCAGGTGGTTCAGCAGATGACTGGGATAAACCCGATTTTATCAAACAGGAACGGGTTCTTTATTGGTAAGAATACGGTGCCTGAGCACTTCTTTAATATGGCTGGGCTAATTGGCACTGCCCTCTCATCAATAATTATGTTTAAAGGATCGGGGTTTAAAGAGGTCGTGTTTATATCTGGTATTGTGTGCACAGTTACACTGGGGGTACTTGGGGTTAGTAATATACCGTGGTGCAGTGGTGTATACTTACTGTTCTTCTCACTGGGCCTGGCTAATCTGCCGTGGATACTTCCTGGCATGTTATTACAGGAGGAGTCTGATATAACCACTGCTGCTGGGCTTGGGTCACTTGCTAATTCTGCTGTATCGTGCATTGCACTGAGTATGTTTACTAATTATAAGGTTACGGCTGGCATTAACTGGGTATTCTTTGTGTTTAGCACGTTTTCATTCATAGAGGGCGTATTCGGGTACTTCTTAGTGCGTGTATCAGAGAGGCAGGGCAAGAAAAGTTCTGGTGTAGAGGTGAAAGAATTACTTAGTGCGTAATATATAATATGTAATGATCATATGAGTAAGATATATTAGTATAAGTATGATAAATAATATTATATAGTACGCATACACTTATAAATATTATTACTTATTATAGATACACTTATAAATATTATATATTACGTATATATCAATAAGTTATAATAATAATATAAGTATAAAAATCAATAAATCAAGATATTATACTATAACTTATTACACATTATACTATAACTTATTACACATACACTTATAAATATTACTTATTACAGTTTATATTTTTATTTTATTATTTATTACACATACACTTATAAATATTACTTATACTATAACTTATTACAGTTTGTATTTTTTATTTTATTATTTATTACACAGTGTATATTATATTATGCTTATAATGGGAGATATAAACAGAGTAAAGGTCTATTCTCTCTCTGAACTAGAAAAGAAAGAGAAAGTAGAGGTGTTCTTATCAAATGAATTTGATATATTTAATATATCAGGAGTTGATTCAAGAGATAAATCCTTTTATAAATCCTGTATAAAAGAAGTAAAGAATAAAAACAGCACAGAATATAGTAGCAAGTGTACATTAAGTAATCACAAGTATACAGAATATAATAATAAGTGTACATTAAGTAATCACAAGTGTACAGAATATAGTAGCAAGTGTACATTAAGTAATCACAAGTATACAGAATATAGTAGCAAGTGTACATTAAGTAATCACAAGTGTACGTGTCCTATACAAATATTTAAGCAGATAAGGTATATTACAGCCAAAGATGTAACCGTATACAGGAATGGCAAGTGTACACTAGATACAGCACAGATAGGATATATTATACCAAGAAACAGTGCATTTGGCAGGGATTACAGTGACATACTATTACTTATAAGACAAATCATCAGAAGTAAGAAAGAGTTCATTTCTTTACCATTTGAGTTCTTTACCACGTGGATAGGCTTAAACATAGGCATAGTAATAATATTATACATAGAAAGATATATTATATAATGAGTAATAAGTAATGTATAATGAATAAGATATATTATATAATGAGTAATAAATAGTGCGTAATAAGTAAGATATATTATATAATGTGTAATAAATAGTGCGTATTAAATAAGATATATTATATATAGTGTAAGATATATTATATAATGTGTAATAAGTAATGTATTATGTGTAATAAATAATGTATAGTTCACATATAAGTAATGTATAATAAACAAGATATATTATATATATTATAACAAATAATGTATTATGTGTAATAAGTAATATTTATTATACTTTGTATTATATATTATTATTTATCACTAATAGTGTACTATATTACAATAGAGTGTATATTTAAGTTATTATTATTACTTATTATACTATGTGTATAAAGTATTTATATAATTAATCTACTCTTTATTCATAATATCTTTATTTATTATATCATTTATTACACTATATGTACTATCTCTTATTTATTACACTGTGTATAATATATATTACTTATTACACTATGCATAATTTATTATATTAAAATATTCTTTATACTATACATTACTTATTATACTATACGTACTATATCTTATACTTATTTTATATATATTTATTATATTACTTATTATACTATGTATACTATATATTATTTATTATACTATGTATACTATATATTACTTATTATACTATGTATACTATTTTTTATTTAGTATACTAATACACCCTTCATATATCCCTAATATTAATTCATTCTCCTGTATATGTTTATTATTTAGTATACTAATTAACTTATTCTTCTCTGTGCTTATATCTGATAATTCTATTTCTGTTTGGTTTATTATATCTTCTGTGGTGGATAAGACTTTTGCGTATTTGTATAATATATTCTCTTCTTTATTTAGTAAGTTAGTCTGCTCTTCTTTTCTTTTCTTTAATTCTTTTATATCCTTAAGCAGTAAAGCATTCTTCCTCTTATTTATACTGATGGACTGTGTTATAACAGAAGTATTCTTAGATAGAGTGTCTAATTCATTGAATAACTTACACAGAGACAGTCTAAACACGTTAGGTTGCAATAGATCCATAGGAAAATAATAAAAATAAAATATAATACACATAGTATAATAAGTAAAATATAATACACATAGCATAATAAGTAATATAAATAATAAAAATAAAATAAGTATAAGATATAGTACACATAGCACATGATTTATTATGACTTATTACACATAATACACTAATTATTATAATTTATTACACATAGTACATAACTTATTACACATAGCACATAATTTATTACACATAGTACACTGATTATTATTACTTATTACACATAGTACGCTGATTATTATGACTTATTACACATAGCACATAATTTATTACACATAGTACACTAATTACACCATAACCTGAATAACTTATTACACATAGCACATAATTTATTACACATTATACCATGACTTATTACACATTACATCATGACTTATTACACATAGTACATAACTTATTACGCATGGTATAATAAATAATCCTGTTGTATTTTACTTTTAATATATTGTCTTATATTTATTTATGCTTTTCCTGAACAACCACCGGTAAGTCCTTGCCACTCGCAATTGCCTTTGAATAATTAACACCTAAATATACAGTGCAGTACAACCAAATAGTACTTATACCCACTGTAGTAGTAAATGTAATAGCAACTGATTTACGTATATCACTAGTATTAAATATAGATAACAGGATAATCTGCGTAAGGGAGGCAACTGACTTACCTAACTTACCGAATACCCCATCATAAATACCTTTAAACCGGGACCGGTGCTCTTTCGGTATCTTAACACCGACTGCCTCCTTGCATATGTCAAATGCAGCATACTTCATTATCTTAATCATCATGACCACTATCATACTAATGACTAACTCCATTAACTTAGCATGACTCATTGACCACGGGAGTACTGCACCAATTGTCTTACCAACCCGTGTGAGTACGCTCTTATCCGTGGCTAGTACTTTACTGTTAACCCATATAGTACCAAAGAATATTGCTGATCCGATCAGTGACAGTACGGGTGATACCAGGCCCAGTGATAACCACCCTTTCTTCTGTATGAATGATTTCATTGGTGACATAAGTACGACTCCTGTGAGCACTCCCACAACCACTTGCTGAATTGCTTTTGTTATCATGGTGACAGTTTCCTTTGGTAATTCTTTATACTCTGCGTAGTCCTTTATGGCCATGTTCCCTGCTCCTTCTGTTAAGTTAGTGACCATCCCGTACCCCAGCACGGACAGTGACAGTGCAAGTATGATCGGGTTAGAGAATGCAGCAAGTATTCCACTGACCATGCCCACTTTAGTCTTCTTCTTGGGCTGTGGTGGGTTAGATACGATGTATACAGGGTACGGTACGATATTATCCATAAGGTTCTTGTATATGTAGAAACTAACCCCACACAGTAACCCTAATAGTATCAAGAAGTACCTGTAGAACATAATTATGTTGTCCTTGCTCTCTTTATTAAGCAGGGGCACCGTTAACCCCATAATCCCAGAGAGTGTCAGTGCCACATTAGCGAATATCAAGAATAACGGGTAGAACCGGAGGGCCTGCTTCAATAGGCATAATTCATTAACACACCCAAAGAATAAAAGCGACAGCACGAAACTCCCCCACATCTCAGCAGACACGTAAAATAACGAACACGTCCAGAAATTACCAAGGTATAACAACCCCTCTAAGAACTGCATGCCTTTACTGTGCATCTTTGAATCCACGAACAAGTCCGATACCAAGAACTTATACGGCTCCATCTTCTCTGCGAATGTGAATATTACGACTGAGTACAGTATAAAGTATGCACCAAACCCTATATGTGCACCAAGCATAATACTCCTCATCTTAACACCACGTGACATTAAGTACTGAAACATAATACCGAATGCGATCGTAGACATAAGCACGGCTGTTGATTTCAAGTACGGGATAGATGTCGGTAACATCTTACCAATAATAAGCGTATCTTTAGCATCTCTTAGTGTGGAGTATATAAATGAAGTAATAAACCCAAGCACTCCGAGTGAGAAGAACTTTGGGTACTCTACTTTTAATACTCTAAAGAATGAAGAGGTCTCTTCAATCGCTTTCTTTTCATGTTCTTCTTCTGTTGGTAGAGATTTACTTCTGTACTCTTCTGATTTTGTGTCCATGGGGTAAAAATTTTTCATGAATTTATAGAAAATTATTAAAGCAGCCAATCAGAAGCAAATAGTAACGAATCATAACTTATTACACAATTAACAAATAATAATAAATAATGAGGGGTTAGCCAATGATTAGTAAATAATGATTATTATGTAATAAATCATGGGTGGTAGCAAGATATATTGTAGATTGTGTAATAAATACTATCTTAAATTTAATTGCAGGAAAATTTTTAAAAGAATTAAAAATAAAATTTACATTAATTATTACACAATGTACAGTAAGTTATGAGCATTAAGAGTATTTATTATATAGTGTAGTAAGTCATAAGCATAATTATATTAGAAGGACTACCATTACTATTTATTATATACTGTGTAATAAGTTGTATACGTATTAAGAGTATTAAGAGTATTAAGACTATTTATTAATTGTGTAATAAATTATGTAATAAATTTTGATCTTAGGAGTATTTATTAATAATTGTGTAATAAGTTATAATTTATTGTGTATTGTGCAGTAAGTTATGAGCATATTATGAGCATTTATTACACAATGTGCAGTAAGTTATATACGTATTAAGACTATTTATTAATTGTGCAGTAAGTTATAATTTATTGTGTATTGTGTAATAAGTTATACACGCATTAAGACTATTTATTAATTGTACAGTAAGTTATATACGCATTAAGACTATTTATTAATTGTACAGTAAGTTATATACGCATTAAGACTATTTATTAATTGTGCAGTAAGTTATATACGCATTAAGACTATTTATTAATTGTGCAATAAGTTATAATTTATTGTATACTGTGTATTAAGTTATAATTTATTGTGTATTATGCAGTAAGTTATGAGCATATTAAGACTATTTATTAATTGTGCACTAAGTTATGATCTTAGGAGTATTTATTGCATACTATGTAATAAGTTATATACGTATTAAGACTATTTATTAATTGTGCAGTAAGTTATATACGTATTAAGACTATTTATTAATTGTGTAATAAGTTATAATTTATTCTTGTACTTCTGGTGTCTTCTGTGATAAGTATCTGAACTGTATAAGTGCGTCGGTGTACCCCGTGGTGTCATGCGCCGTATTAATTGTACGTGAAAGTATCACAGACACTTTCTGCTTTACACCAGGAATGTCCTCCCGCTGCATTACCCCGTGTAAGAATAGAAGACCCCTCTCAATTAAACCCTGTGATAATGCGTTAAGTACAACAGGGACACACTTCATGACTAAGTCACTCGGCACGTACTTTGCCAATACGATCGGATCACCAGAACATAAAGCGTACCTCATTAAATGCGTATCACTAAGACGGGCCGCACCAATTATACCACTTAAACTGTCACCCTGTGATATTTTATGACTTACGTCCTGTGGCGTATCTGCTGACCATGCGACTGACACTCCCCCCTCACGGAATAATAAAATACCTTCATCTGTGCATATACCCACTGACCAATCAGGCTCATTCAATAAGCATATCCTACCAGAAGAGGTCCCTGCCTTGTCCAGGACAGTCCATTTAAGTACCTCCTGGCCTGAAATGTACTCAGACACTTTAAGTACTTCCCGGTCACGTACGAGTACCTTGTACGATATAATGATCCCTTCTGGTGTATTCTTAATGCATAATGGAGTGCACTTACCAAGTCCATTTACATACCCTGGGATAACCCGGTACTCCTGTACTTCTTCTGTGTCCACGTACTCATACAGCATACCACTCTCACCCAGACAAGATATCCTGCACACACTCCCTGATCGGGTTATGTCTGCGAATAAGATCTGCTCGGGTGTATCCACTGTATATACAGTGTCCTTGTATACGGATATACTGTACATAGTGACTACCACCACAGACGCATTAAGCACTTTCACTGCTAGTGGTAGGTCTATCTCATACGACTGGATTAACTTACTCCTCTGTATATCGTATACGTCTAAATACGTCAGTCCACAGAGTGCAAGTACTTCATTATCTGCATCTGCCATGGAGGTGGCCTTATCAGTCGTGATACACTTCAGTACGTCACCGGACGGACTGTGCAGTGTACACGTACCTATCGATGAGACCGTAAGGAATTTCTTATCCAGTGGGAGTACACTAACCACACACGCCGTATGCTCAGACACTTTCTTAGTGCACAGGGAAGACCCTCTCTCCCACAGGAATACGTCACCCGTCCCTGACCCGGATACGAGCAGGTTATCATACGGCACGCACACTCTTTGATCAGCCGATCCGGTCGCATTGAATAAAAGTGAGTTTGTCTTCCACTCCCACACAGCAGAACCATCCCCTGATAAAAGCACCCACTCATCTGATTCTATAAACTGGACAGAATGCGTACCCGTACTGGTTATTTTCTGTACGGGTTTATTATCAGACGTACTCTGCAGTATAATATTACGCTGCGTATCCAGGAGTACGACCATGTCACCGTATACAGAAATACTTGCACCGATTAAATTATGCAGTGTATACACACGGTCTGTCACAGTCCACTTCCCACCCAGTAAAGTAGACTTACTTATCTCACCAGATGACCATACGCAGTATACCACACTGTTTATTATACGGGCACACAGTGGCACGGCCTTATTACGCAGTATTAATACAGAAGTGTCCTCACCCGGTGTGTACACTCTAAGTACGCCATCCTCTGATCCTGTAAGTACTTTATCACCTGGCACTATCATGCATATATTATCCTGGTGGCCAGTTATGTGCTTATACTTCTGGAATGAGAATATTCCTGTTACTGCCCTATTCCATATCTGTAAGTACCCCAAGTACTCTAAGTATACTTGTCCATTGACTAAGCAAACTGCCCTACACGCCTTATGGGACATTCTTCCTATTTCTGTGTTATACTCTAAGTTGTATAAGTATACTCTGCTGGATATGTCCAGTACTAACAGAAGATTATCCTCAACTGAGAGCATTTTAATGTCTCGCTCTGTTTTTAGTTTAAGCACAGAAGATGTCCCTGCCCTTATTTTTATCTTTTTTATGTGTCTGCCTGTTGACTGGAATAATTCTCCTGTATGCTCATTGTACGCAGAGACTGTCACAGAAGAAGTTCCGTAAAGTGCAGAAAGTTCCACTGACATAAAAATTTGCAAAAAATAACGAAATAAAATAATGAAATAAAAGCGTATTAGATATAACTTATTACACAATACACTATAACTTAATACACATTATACTATAACTTAATACACATATTATACTATATATTACACATTGTACATAACTTATTACTTATTACATATTGTACATAACTTAATACACATTGTACATAACTTATTACATATTGTACATAACTTAATACACATTGTACATAACTTATTACACATTGTACATAACTTATTACACATTACACACATTATACTATTACTTAATATAACTTAATACACAGCATACATAACTTAATACACATTACACATATTATACTATTACTTAATACACATTACATTATAACTTAATACACATTACATTATAACTTAATACACATTACACACATTATACTATTACTTAATATAACTTAATACACAGCATACATAACTTAATACACATTATACAATAAATAGTACAACTTAATACACATTATACTATTACTTATTACACATTGTACATAACTTAATACACATTATACTATTACTTATTACACATTATACTATTACTTATTACACATTGTACATAACTTATTACACATTGTACATAACTTATTACACATTGTACATAACTTATTACACATTGTACATAACTTATTACACATATTATACTATTACTTATTACACATTATACTATTACTTATTACACATATTATACTATTACTTATTACACATATTATCCTAATTCTTGTTCTTTATTATATCCTGTACTCATTATACGCCATGTCCATCTGCATCTCTTCTATGGTCTTCTTGTGTACAGGTACGTGCTTCTTTATCATTGTCAGTGTATGTGATACACTTAGCATATCCTCCGTATTTAAACAGTCCCTAGTGATAACCTTGTCCTCACTGATATACTCATCCCTTATTATACTGCCAGTAATACTCCCATCACTTATTATATCACTAATAATATACATAACACTCTCCTTGCTTACACCTAATATAGTACTAACAGTACTTATACTTATCCTACTGTATATATTACATATCCTACGTACCCTCTCCTTATACACTACACACTCTAAACCACTCACTACACCATATAACTTATCCTTACTTATCTTACTAATATTATACTCAACTATACTATTATACTTATCTATATCACCACTCTTAACTGCCCTATATATACTATTATACACATTATCACTGTACATTATATAATTATTGTTATATATACTTATTATATACAATAAATCAGTACACTTGTCCGTATACACACTATCAGTACTATTAATTATAGCCTTATTTATATAATAATAAGATAACTTATACTCACCACATATAAAATACACTTTACTAGCATAATAATTATATACAGATGACTTATTCATATACGACTCATCTATACCACGTATGAATATATATGCTTCATCATACATATTATTATTATCCAGATATATTAGTATACTGTTTATTACTACTGTAATAGTATCAGTACAATTATACTCCTTTAATTTACTTAGTGATATAAGGTACTCCTGTAGTATATTTATATTAAGCATATTAGTGGATATCCTTATAGTCGTATATATAATAGATAATAGACTGTCTAGTATAGTAATAGTATTATTATACTGTATATTATTAATAATATTAATGGCTGTATTATACGCCATGGTGTAATTATTAGTGTATATATATTTAGTAGTTATAAGTAACTGTATTAAGTAATTAGATTGGGGTGTTTGTGTTTGTAAGTTTAATAAGTCATTTATGTCTACTGTAGATATAATCTCGTATAATGATTTAAGTGAGTCTTTTGTGCCTTGTAATGTTCCTGTGTTGATACTCTTTATACTGTCATGTACTTTATCCATAAAATAAAATAATAATAAAATATAATATATAGTGTAATAAATAATAAATAATACACATAGTATAATAAATAATAGAATAATAGACTAATAGAATATAATAAACATAGTATAATAAGTAATAGAATAATAGAATATAATAGACAATAGGTAATATATTATGATTTGTTGTATAACTTATAGTGCATTGTGTAATATATTCTGTGTTATTTATAAAACAAGGGTATTTTAATTATAGAACATAGTGCACTATATAATTATTTGCTTATAACTTATTACACACTGTGTACTATATACTATTATTTATGCACTGTGTATTATATAATACTTTATGCTATAACTTATTACACACTGTGTACTATATACTATTATTTATGCACTGTGTATTATATAATACTTTATGCTATAACTTATTACACACTGTGTACTATATACTATTATTTATGCACTGTGTATTATATTATGGTTTGCTTATAACTTATTCAATATTTGAATTATTCATAAAATACTTATAACTTATAACACACTGTGCACTATATAATACTTTATGCTATAACTTATAACACACTGTGCACTATATAATTATTTGCTTATAACTTATAATACACAGTGTGTAAATAATAGTATATAGTACACAGTGTATTATATAATTATTTGCTTATAACTTATAATACACTGTGCACTATATACTATTATTTACACACTGTGCACTATATAATACTTTATGCTATAACTTATAATACATTGTGTACTTACTATATACTATTATTTATACATTGTGTACTATATTATTCTTTCGGGTTATTCGGGGTATATCTTCTCCTTGTTTAAACAGTGGGTTAAATGAGTTATTGATTGGTCTGCTTCTACTTATACTTTCTGTGCGGTTTATTGCCTTACCTAATGGTATTTAATCATAATCATATGCATACATACTTATAATATACGTATAAGTAATGAATTCATCATAAAATATTTAAATTTGATGAATTTATAACGTATTTTAAATAGAAAAAATTTTAATCCCCGAATGATAAATGGTGATCTATTAAAAGATAAAAGCAGTATATTAACTGATGAACCCATGAATATACTTATTGGTGCAATAATAATTATAGTAATTATAATAGTATGCGTATTCGCTGGAATCACATCTGGTGGCATATTAGGAAGAGGAAGAATAATAGAACATCAAAGAATACCAGTAACCATCAGAAGACAGCCAGCAGAAATAGAAGAATACAATAGACAAATAGAAGAATACAATAGACAAATAGAAAAAGAAACAACAAGAAGAAAAAGACGAGAAGAAGATAGAAGAAGACAACAAGAAGAAGAAGAAACAGAAAGAAGAAGACGAGAAGAATATGATAGAAGAAGAAAACAAGAAAATGAAGATAGAAGAATAAAAGCAAGAATAGAAATGGAAACAAGAAGACAAAAACAAGAAGAATACGATAGACAAATGGAAATAAAAATAAAGAAACAAGGTGAAGATATAAAAAGACAGCATGAAGAAGAATTAAGAAAAGCAAAAGATAAATTAAGACAAATAGAACAAGAAGAAGAAACAAGAAGAATAAAACAAAAAGAAGAAACAGAAAGAAAAATAAAAGAAGCCGATATAGCCCGAACAAGAAGAATAGAAGAATATAAAAAAATACAAGAAGAAGAAATAGAAAGAAATAATTTATATGTTAATACTACTAGTTAAATACGCATTATAAATGTGATTTATTTGTATTATATCTTATAGATAATATTATTAAAAGCCAGAAACACTCTGAAATTCTATTAATTTATAGGGGGCTTAGGGGATTATTATATAAGACATACTTTAATACTAGGTTTAATTATTCTGTATAATTAAGACTTTGAATTTATTACAGGCTTAGCTTGTATCATAAACTAATAAAGAGTGCTCTATTTTATATTTTCAGTGTATTGTATGCGTAGTAAATAATTAATGGGACTATTCCGTGCGTATGTCACATGTATATAATATAACTTATACTATAGTATACTGTATATTATATAGTATTATTTATACACTGTGTAATATTTAGTGGCTTATTTTGTTTTGACCAATTATCCTATTGGTTATTTATTTCTTGTATATTTATGGATTCTGTTGTTTGTATGCAGATGGTAGATAAAGAATTACTTAAGAAGACATCAAATAAATTAATACAAGAGAATAAAGGAATACTTGCTATAGACGAGAGTCCTAAATCAATGGAAAGTAAATTTAGTAAGGTAAATATTGAAAATACAGCAGAAAACAGAAGAAGGTACAGAGAAGTACTTCTGACAGCACCGCATGAAATAGGGAAGTATTTAGGTGGGGTTATTTTAAATGAAGAAACCTTTACACAGGAAGATAGCCAGGGTGTCCCATTTATTCAGCATATAACACAGGCTGGGATATGTGCTGGTGTGAAATTAGATAAAGGATTACTCCCACTGAGTAATTCTGATGAGAAAGTGAGTACTGGATTGGATGGGTTGAATGACAGGTGTAAACAGTACAAAGATAAAGGTGCATTATTTGCTAAGTGGAGGTCTGTGTTTAGCATAGACCAAGGGAAACCTTCTGATGAGTGTGTATACAAGAACTGTGAAATACTTGCTGAGTACGCTGTTATTTGTCAGAAGAATTCTTTAGTTCCTGTTGTAGAACCAGAAGTACTTTTCTCTGGTGGGCATACAGCAGAAGAGTGTGGTTCAGTGACTTCTCAAGTTATTTCCTGTTTGTTTTACCATTTGAACAAGAAAGGGGCGTACATCCCTGGAGTGCTTTTAAAAGTAGGGTTTGTTACTTCTGGCGCAAACCTACAGGAAGAAAGCGTGGATGAAGTGGCTAGTGGGACTATTAAGTCATTTATGTCATCTATTCCACCTGCACTCCCTGGGATTGTTTTTTTAAGTGGGGGACATTCTGAAGACCTTTCTGTGGCGTACCTCCAGGGAGTGTCTGCTGCTGGTGCTAAAGAAAATGCACCGTGGGCTGTATCATACTCCTTTGGAAGGGCATTACAAGACGGGGTTCTTGAACTGTGGGATAATAAAGATGAGAATAAGGAGAAGGCACAGGATCTTCTTGTTGAAAGGGCACGAATTTGCTCTTCTGCTGTTATGCAGAAGTGAATGACCGTTATGCATGAATAAATATTTTATATTTAGAATAAATATTTTGGTTTATGGAATTGAATTTTTTTGGTGTATGCAGGGAAAGTATAAAATCACAGAGCAAATAGGGAAGGGTGCTACTTCTGCGGTGTACGAGGGGATAAACACTAGAACCCAGAAGAAAGTGGCCATAAAAGTGATTGACTCTCAGAGCACAAGAAACCTTCACTTGGCGGCAAATGAAATTCGGGTACTGCAGAGACTGTCGCACCCAAATATTGTAAAAATACTTGAGACAGTGGAAACAGAGAGACAGACACTTATTGTGTTGGAAAGGTGTAAATTCTCTCTTTCTTCTGTGGCTAAAACAGGGAATCTTCCGTATAAAAGTATTCTTAGAATATTTAGAGATATTCTTGTGGGCGTGCAGTATCTTCATGCAAATGGGATTATACACCGAGATATAAAACTGGGGAATGTAATGATTAGCGATGCAAATGATTTGAAAATAATTGATTTTGGGCTATCAAAAGATACATTATTTAGTGCTCCAAAGACATTCTGTGGTACACCTGACTTTATAAGCCCGGAGATGATGGGAAGAATGCCGTACACTAAAAAAACAGACATATACAGTGCAGGCATGCTTGTGTACTTTCTCATATTTAGGTGTGATTATAGCAGAGAAAGAATGCATGCAGGGAAAAAGTCTGAGCAGTATGGGCAGATGGTGCACCTTCTTGAAAGAATGCTGGAGAAAGATCCAAATAAGAGAATCACTGCAGAAGAAGCACTTGCCAGCCGGATATTTACTGGATTCTTTCCTAAATTGATTTCAATGGGAGGTATAAAGCCGTTTAAGATATCTACTAAACTAGGAAATATTTCATACGCGGATGAGAAAGTCACTATGACCACAGACTTGGCTGTATTCTCCATGCGCGGGGATATGGGCGGTGTTTATCAGAAAGATGCAAAAACATCCCAGGAAGTGTACACTCCATTCTCTACCACAGACACAAAGACACTTAAACTTGTGGGATTCTGCTACTCTATACTGGGCCTAGTGAAGAAAAGAACTCCTGTGGTAATTATACTCACTGATAAAGGAAAGTTCTTTAAAATGCTTACAGACACTGTTTATGTATACATCATAGATGACTTCTACATCATCTGGCAAAACGGAGAAGTATCTGGAAAGAGTCTAAAGAATAAAGAAAGAATCTCTCCTACCTCCCAAGAAATTGAAGAAATAAAAACGCTCATACACGAGGCAGAAATAACACTCCAGGAAAGTGTGTCTTCACAAAGACCTATTTTAGCAGATAAAAGAATCCATGCTAAAGGAACACTCCACCACAGTGCATACCAGTCTGTTGGTATTTCAGTAGACTCAAATACACTGGCAAACCTTTCCCCTAGATCACAGAAACAGAATGAATATACTCCTGTATTCACACAGAATGGAAGTATTCTTAGAATAGAACCGTACGTATACTACTTATGTGTGAGTGAAAGAGAGGCATATATTCTAAATGTACAAACAGAGGAAATAACTGAATGCACACCAGAAATGCCAAAACAAGTGCATAAAATAAGAACATCCACACATAAAGGTATCCTAGAGAAAGTACTTCTATTCCAGGAACTATTAAACACAGCCAGACTATAGAATGTGACTGTATTAATACGCACTGAACATATAGAATATGTTTAGTAAATCTGAATAATTTCACTGTCAATAATTTTGGTTATTTCTTAATAATGCAGATACCTCTAAATTGACTTTTAAACCCCCTCGGAAATTTCTTAGATAATTAACCCAGCAACCGCACTACATATTATAAGAATCTAGATATAACCAGGGAATAGAATTAAATGTATAATTTTAAAATATTTCATGGTGTAGAGTGTAAATATCTGAGTGTAAATTACAGAATATTTCTAGCTTTTGTTACCTCTGTAAATATAAAATAGCCAAAGCATAAGAAACCCCATGAAATTCTGAAATATTTAAAATTGACACTTGCACTTACACATTTTCATTCGGGTATAATCTACTCATTCACACCTAGTTTCTATTTAATTCGGTAAATTATATAATATTTCCTATTTATCTAGCATTTCCCCCATTTGTTATGAATAAACTGCATATAGAACTATTTCTGTATACTCCTCTTATAAAAATTCAATTTTACTGGTCTGTTAAAATAAGAAATTCTTTATGGCTTTAAGAATTTCTTATTCTATTAATTTACCTTATCATAATTATCTTATAATGGAATAAATCTGTCTTCTTTAATATCTCCATATAATACTTGCATATACTGAATACTAAATAGTAAAAATATGGTATATCTATATTTATTTAAATAATCCTGCTATGGCTTGAAATCACAAATTCTAATAAGATAGTTCTTAGTTAATGTGATTCCTGTCTAAAATACGGTTACTTTCATATTTCTGAATGAATTTATGTTGTTGGTCTAAAATGTGCTTAATTTAAATATAAAGTTAATTTCGGGTTACTTCATATTTATACTGAAATATAAATTCATTAGGAAGATTTTGTGCTAATTCTTAAAAGTGCTTTTGTTTTATCTAAGTTTATAAAGCCATAGCTAATAGCAATTATCATAATAATCGAAAGTATTGCTAGAATAATCATTGAAGCCTTTTTAGCTCGTAACATATTTGAGCTCTGTACATTTTCTAAATTTGACAGGTCAAGAACAGCTGATGAGTCATTAACACTGGATAATTTGTCCTTTAAACTTTCCAAATATTTTTTGGCTACATTATTTTTAAACTCCATTGGATCACATTCATATCTAGAGCAAATATCTGAAATGGTTTGACTGCTTTCTTTTGAAATAATTATGGTTTTAGCGGTTTTGAATGTATTCATACTCTCCTTTAGATTCTTTATAAATGTTTTTATTTTTTTGTTAATATGGCCAGTGGTTGTGTCATTGAATAGACTTAGAGTAATTATATCCTTTAAAACATTGTGCTCTACATCATCTTGGTCTTGAATAGAAATCATTCCGTACATATCAGCTATAACTTGGTCTATTTCATATGGATTTGCTCTTGTAAATAGCTGTAGTGAATAAATATCATCTGGTTCTAGTCCAAGCTTCTTCATATTTGATTCTTCATTTCCACTTTCATTAATTGTAACAATTTCTTTCCCGTGCTGTTCTAGTATGTCCAGTACTCTCTGCAGTCTTGAACATTCCTTAGACTCTGTTAGCTCAAAAAGCCTCTTTATTACATCAGCAGAATAAATTGCTTCTGTTGGCTTCTTAATACTCTGCTTAGTAGAAAATTCATCTAGAGTATTATACAAGAAGTCCTTCCATGGCAAATAATTGTGTACGACATTCAAATGATTATTGTTCATTATAGTATGCCATCCAGTTCTTTGTCTGTCATCCTCTGTCACATGATTTATTGTATTCCAAACAATACTTGCCCTTATCTTTATATTCTTTATAATATCATCGAATATTGATTTAATAAGGATATCATACGTTTTATTCACATATAATCCTCCAAATTCACGCTCTATTGACCGAATAATTTGGCTGTTTATCATTTGCGCTATTGGAGCATATTTATCTTGGAATGTGTCTTCACTTGAGTAAAGTTTTTTTATTTTGTCTATTATATATAAACCATCCTTGGGCATAATCTCTTCATCTTTAGATGGAAATATCTTGCGCAGTTCTTTTTTTTATTTGTACCTCCAAACATCTCTGGGATAACCAAATCATTCTATATTTATATTTTAACTGACAAATCAAATATCTTCTGTTTAAACAACCAACCAATTTTCAGTTATTTAGGAGTAAAATACAATTATTGGTGCATATTTATTTTTACGCCAAGTATGAACATACAGAGTTTGTATAATAAGATTATTGGTAATTCAGAATATTTCATTATTAATAAAGTGGCCATGTTAATCCATATACTCTAAAGTCATTATTTTCAACAGGGGCATGGCTATATGTAGATTCTCCACTTTCTAGTGCATCTACATGTTGTCTGTGTAATTTTTCTGCTTTTCTTTTTATTAAGGATATATAAAGACCCAAAATTATAGCAACAATTAGTACGGCTAATACTATAAATCCTATGGTTTCTATAGCAGTTGTTGATAGTTTTGCATTTTTTGGTAATTCTGGTTTTGGGCATGGTGGTAGCATTCTATTTTTCTATTTATTACTTCTCTTATATACTTTAATTATTTGATATATGATCTTTATTCTATAAAAGTGATGCCATCACATGAATTATAATGATTATACTGTAATATCAATGATTATACTATAATAATAATATAGAAATATCATTTACTATTTACATATTTTATTTTTATGAGTTTAAATTTAGATGCGTACAGGAATATTTTACATAAAATAAACACTTTCTATTTGCTTTAAAATTTAAATATGCAAAGAATAAGAATATATTAGAAGTATATTACAGTATATTAAATAAACCAATTAATAGACTAAATACATTAATATAATATAATCTGAAATGAATGAAATACTATTAAAGACAATTATACCAAGATTAGAGATATTAATCAAACAAAAACAACAAACTTTAATTTGTCGATATACAGAAACATTTGAGTATATATAATGGCAATGGGATTAGTAAGATAAAAATGAGTAATGTTACAGAAAGTATAATAAGTAATAATGAAACGGTGGTTACAGACACACCAATAGCAGAACTACCAACTGTTTCTTTACATGTTACTAAAGTGCTGGCTATTCTAATTGTAGCAGTAATTGTTATCGGAATTATAATACGAATATTACTCTCTACTATGCAAAAAACAAGAAGAGCCAGGCTATGTAGAGAAATGGGGATTCCTCTTAGTGGGCAGAGTAGATATACTAGGCCAGATGTGGATGACATTACAGCGCATGATAGAGATAATACACTCGTTTAATACATATAATAAATAACGGCAGAGTACTTAATTCTAAGGAGTATTAATCCATAAGTACTTCTAATAACCAGAAATACTATATAAATTATTGTATAGTAAAACAGATTAAGAAGTATAAATGAAATATCTTACAATTTCAATATTGGAATATTCTCTGTGGATAAAATACTTTGAAGGGGTATATAACCCGAATTTTAATATATGCTAGAATAAAACCAAGAACTAATGTTCGGGTTATATGAAGTGTATAAATGGATTTAAATAGTATTTCATCAATAGCAATAATAGATTATATCCTGAATAACACGCTCTAATTTTTATACATTTGATCTATTACAGAGTATTATAACGAGTTTATATAAATTATACATTTTAGTACCAAGGTATATATTTAACACTATAGAATAGAATCCACCAGCGAATAAATGCTATAAATAATAAATCTATAAAATACTTCAAATAAATAAATGAAAATAGATATATTTAAACAATTAAGCTTATTATATGGGTTATTATTTGTTTTTAGTGACAATTAGCAATTTTATTCATTTGAATATAGCAATGGATTATTGTCTTGGTGGCTCTTAGTGTAGATTTCACATTTTTGGTTATTTATGAAGAATAAATCTATCTACACATTTAAAGAATTCGCATTTCGGGCTACTTCTACTAATAATTTAAGTTTTAATGTTTTACTCTTCGGCTGTGATATTCACTGGGTCAGAATGTGCATAAGACTAAATTAGCTCTTAAGAAATCCATAGGACTTACTGCTAGAAAGAAGTTCTTTTATGTGGCATATAATTTATTTAGACAAAATATGTATGGGATTTTAGGATTTCTATATATTGTATGCAGAAATAATAGAGAGCATCCCAGCACATGCAAAGAGTGTGCCTCCTAAGTATGCATAAATATTAAATCTAGCTTGTGGTGCTAGTTTATTACGGCGAGATATAACATCAATTATTGCATGTACTGCTGCAGATGTTCCGCCGATATATGACATAATACCTAATATTTCTGTATCTGTTTCCTTGTTCATTCCATTGTATGATATGTATAAAGTAATGTTGGTTCCAATTACAGAGAGGAGGTATGCTAAATACCCACCAACAATGTTTTTAGTTTTTTTCAGTGCGTATACCCCAAGTATCTGTAGAATCCAAGATATTACCATGAGTATTTCAGTGTTTCTTGGAGAAGAGCTAGTGTATATTACTAAAGGAATTGATAAAACAACTGCAAGGACTCGTGCTATGCCTTCTAAATATCCATGCACTGGTTTGTGCTTATTTTTGTGCTCCTGTATACGTATGGACGGAATGAGCAGAGACATTGTCTTGATAAGACCATAGGAAATATAGTAAAATACTCCAGATATTCTGTCTATAACTATCCCAACAAGGCCAGTGTGCTCTTCTGCACTGCCAGTTCGTTCAATCAGAACAAGATCAATGTATATTCTAAAGCACACACTTAATGTAAATGCTCCTGTGTATGAAAAAATATTAGAAAGAAGACTTACCGTTATTTTCACAGGCTTTTCTATGCCGGGGGCTATAGTAGACAGAGCTCCATCTGTGTGCAGTCCGAAAATACACAGAAGAACCAATGTCTGCGAAATAATAGTAAGATACATGGAGGCCAGACTGCTTCCAGAGATATAGTACATGTTCTGTGAAATAAAGCTGGACATAATTCCTGTTATTTTCCGGATGGTACTGTACTTCACACTCATTCCCTGGTCATTCTCAGAATAGAATCTTTTATCTGCGATTAAAGTACTGTTTCTATACGCCAGCAGTATCTGAATAAAAATAGTGCTTATCGTTGATTTCTCCTTCATGTTTATTAAGACAATATATACTATAATCTCTGAAATAACCGAGCTAATAATAGTCCATAAGAGCCCGATCTTTGCAGCGATCCATGAAAGTACCAGAGAAAAAACAAGCATTGAGTAGAGCCACCAAGGAATGATTTTGTCTGCAATTTCCTTGGTTGTAAATCCCTTTTCCTCTACCAGAAACACAGCCAAAAAGGGAGAAATCGGCCTAAAGTTCCTTCCCACTATAAGCAGAGAGCGTAACATACAAAAATTATTTTACACAATTTCATAGAATGAGTGACTCTGTAACATACCGAAGCAAGTATTTAGAAGTACCACAAGAGCTTAGAAGCAGAATCGTGAACATATACACGGCCAGCACAAAGTACAGAAGAAAAGCAAAGGAAATGGAAATTCCATTGGTTGAGGAAATTGAGTACAAAGGAATTTCAAATGAGCTGGAAATGGTTGGAATGCGAACAGATGAAGTAAAATGTAAAGTGCAGGAAAAACTAACACATTTAGAGGACATACGTGACTATGTAAAAGAAGTGTGCTTAAAAGAAACAGAACAAAGAAAGGCATATATATCAGATATAATAAAGACCGAGATGAGGAGTGCAGAGGAGAACCTAGCTATGCTTGAAGAGAGAATGCGTGCACTCATAGAAAGAAACAAGCCAAATGTTCTTCAGTCAATCCAGCTGGCAATTAACAAACTGTCGCAGAAGATAGAAAACATCCAAATTTAAATAAATATAATTAATAGGAAATACTTTACACTGTGTAATTTACAATTAATTTTGTACACGTAGTGGTAGCAATCAGCATGCATATCCCAAAAACTAGAAGCTGTGTAAGATAGATAAGATAGAATACTGAAGTGCACTTTAATATAAAGCAGGTTGTTAGGTGTAGATATAAATGATTTTGTTTTTTGAAATATTCAGAATGGAGCGGTGTATTGAGTGCGGCTTAAAATACAAAGACAACGATGTTCAGTCAGACAGGCTTATTGTTCTTATTGGAGGCCTTGGAGACACGCATAAAGGGTTCTACACAGACGTTCTGATGAAATTTGGTGTGTATTATGGAATTAGAGTCTTTAGTCTGGGACTTCGGTCAATGCCAGATTATAATTACTATACAATACATGATGATGTAGAAGATGTACAGAAGTTTTACAAGGCCTTAGGAATGGACAAGTACGCTGGGGTCTGGTACATTGGGCACTCAACCGGATGCCAGGTGCTTATGCTATTTGCATCTAAAAAGGTGTATAGAGAGAGTGAAGTTATTATTCTGCAGGCTCCAGTGAGTGACCGAGAGTATGAAGAAAGCACCAATCCAAATCTTCTGCGCACTCTGGAAATTGCACGGAAGCTAAATGAAATAATGCAGTTTGAAAATCAGAAGGAGGAGTTAGATGAGCGAAAACACCAAATGGTTCTTTATATGAGGCACAATGGCCTTCCGTTTAGAGCAGACCGAATTTTAAGTTTATTTGAAAAGTCTGGAGATGAAGACTTTTTTTCTATTGGCCAGAGCACAGACAGCGCGAATGGATCTAAGACTAAAGCATACGCAGTAGTCAGCAAAAGCGATGAATATATGGTGTCTCCCATCAACGAAGTTATAGAACAACTGAAAAGAATAAAAAATATGCAAGGTGTCTACACAATAGAAGCAGACCACAGTCTGGTGTACGGAATGGATAAGTTTCTGAAAATTCTAGAGTGCATTATCAACCAAAGGGATATAGCAACTGAATAGAAGATAATTTACAATAATCTTCTAATACAAAATATTCTAATATTTCTAAGTTCATTAAAACAGTAAAGAAGTAAAGTATACCAGCTCTGGTCATTTAACGTATTTCTATAGCATTTCTGCTACAGGATGTTAAAAATTTAAATTTCAGCTTATTTATATATAAATGCTTGTTTCTTGTTGTCTATAAATGCGTTCTTTGTTTGTGTAATAGTTTATGTGCTGGCAGTTAAACAGTTTTTACATATTATACTTTACTAAATTTCTAATGATGCTAAATTTAAAAAATCCTTTATTTATTTTATTAGCATTTATTTTTCGTGTATTAAACCCTATGTGATAACAAACACTGTTCTATTATAATTAGATACAATTTCCACTCTAGATAAAAACAAAATGTCTAGTAAATACATAAATATAAAAAATATAATGTATAGCAAAACCAATAGTGCTCGTTTTCTGTTTTCTCTTGGAATATAGTTGAAAAACAGATCTCTTCTGGGAAAAGATGAACTAATCGTCAGAGAAGAAAATATATAATCTGCTATACCTAGTATAAGAAATACCGCCCTTGCCACTAAACCTAAAAAAACAACCATTTTTACATGTTCAATGTGTTTAAAACATATATATGCAAGAATGGCAGGGAGTTTAAGTAGTACAACTTCTATAAGTGTACCAAACATTACTATTACACATTTGTTTTTACAGAATTCTAACATAAAGGATATATATGTTATTACTTCCATAATAATTCCAAAATAGCCTATTAAAAAATAGGCACAAATCATAGCTACATAGTAATTTTGTAATATATAAAGGCTTATATTTTGTTGGTGTTGTAAGTAGCCTATAAACAGTCCAGACTGAAGTGATAGAGAGAACATTGATATAAAGAAAGATGCTGGTATAAGTATGAATCTGTAAATTTCAAACACATAATATAAAAATTTGGTTATTTTGCTTACCTCTTGATTAGGCACTGGTGGATTTGTTTTATGAACATTAATTTGGATTAAACTAATATCATTTGCATTACAAGTAGAAGCAGGCTGAGCCCGAGTATTGTTAAATGTGCTTGTTATATTGTTAGTGCACGTAGTTAACAAATTTGAGGAAGGGGAATTGCTCATTTCATTGTTTACCATCTGGGCTAAGTGCCTGGGTGCTACGTTCAGGGAGCTATTATTAGATTTTTGTAATAAAATACTGTCTTTTGGCACAGAGTATATACTATTTATACGTATTAAAGCAACAGGGCAGGGTATAATATCAAGATCAGCCATTTTATTACAAATACTAGTAATCAGATGCTGAATTTTATTATTATTTTTAGATTTAATAGGCGGATTAGCCAAATTATTCAGCTTTTTAAACATTTCTTGTATATTTATAATATGCTGATCTGCTATTTTATTTTCCTCTGAACGTACCACTGAGGTTTCGCTTAACATACTGTTGTTACACGCTAATTCTAATTTCTGTATCTGATTATAAATTTTTAACAGCTCGCTTTTATGCGCGTCTAAAGGGGTTAAATGCATTTCCTTGATTATGATGCCAGATAATTCGTGTATATGGCGTATAAGTTCTAACAGATTATCGTTATCTTCTTGTGTGTATATTTCAGCATAGTCATGGGAATATCTTTCTTCAGTTTTATCATCTACCATTCTTAGTTTATCGTTGTTTATTTGTACATTTATATATAAGAAATTTCTATTTACAGATATATATTAATACATTCCAGTATAAATTATTAATTTTTTTTGTTTGTTTTTGTTTCTGAATAATTAATTAATTGTTATTATGCGGTATAATCAAAGATATATTTTGTTGTTTAGAATACTTATTTAATGAAAATATGCATTTACTGGTTAAAATAACAAATAGTACAAATGCGCATGTAATTTATACTTTAAGTGTATCTTTATGTAATGCATAGTATAATTATGTGAAAAATTAAATGCGTAGACGTAATATTTATTAAAAGAATTACTATTTATTTTATACATAACTAGAAAGTTCTTTTATCACCCTGTATATTCCTATAGTTTTATATACATGTCTGCTAATTTTTAATTACATACAGTTTGCATACTGCGTATACATATAATAGGATATTTAAGTTTAAATATATTAATTTGGAGATGTGTAGAAGTATCCTATATTCCTAAGAGAAGAGGATATGGCATACGCAGACACTTTTTTTCCAGTTTTTTTATAAAGCATGTTTGCTAGCTGCATTGAGGTTAGTGAAGATTCATTTTTTATGCACTCTTCTAGAAATTCAAGGTCTGTATAAGCAATCTCAGTAATAAGCTTTGTTCTTTTTTTTCTATCAACTGTTCCGTATTTCAAATACCTTGAAATAATCCCTTGTACAGTTGCATAGCTCATTGTTAGCATTTTTACTATTTCAACCCTTTTTAGACCCCTTCTAAACAAATCAATCACCATATCCCTTCTTTGTTGTTCATTGTATTTAGGCTCATTGGAGTTCTCTATGCTCTCTGTTTTATCCCTATTCTTTCCCATAATTTTCAATTTTTCTGTCGAAATAAACCGGGAAACTATTTTATTTTTGTCACACAGTGATATAAGCCACAGAGATAGAATATTAAATGAATATTCACTCTAAAAAGATCTACAAGCAGAAAATGCAATTTATTCAAAAAATCTTAAAATAGTCTTTATTATTACACTATAAGCTACAATGAATAATTAATAGGATAAAGCAATACACTCTGTATATACATAAATATATCCCAAGAAAATCATCTGATATATAAATTTTCGATTAATATGCAAATTATTTATAAATATAGAATGCAATCGATAGGAGCAGTTTGTATACAGATAATTGTTCTTTCAATGTGGATAGGGCATGTTATTGGTTCTAGCCCTAATTTATTAATAGATTATAATTTAATTTTAGCTAGAGTGAATAAGCAGTATGACAAAATAAGTAAACTGGAGCAGATGGCTTTAAATTCTAATGTAGAAAATTCTAATCCAGGAATTAATGTGGAAGATAAATGCATATTAGATAATATATATTATAAAAGCTTAAATTGTCCTCATCCCTATACAATAATTGAAAAAGTCCCAGAAGCACAGAAAAAAGAAATAAGCACGGCGTATGATGATATGACTAGGATGGGCAATGTTTATATATTGCAGTCAAAATCTTTAGAGGATATAAATAAAGAATTTTCAAGGTGTTTGTTAGAATATAAAAAAGCACTATCAGATACTAAAAATCTGATTAATTCTGTAGCTATGGAGGCAAGACTGCATATGGCTGATTTAGAAGAGATCACAAATAATTCTATAACTGAGAATTTTTCTGAAAATGATGTAACAAACGCTCTTTTATTCACAAAGAATATTAAATATATATATAACCCGCAAATAAATGTGCTGAAAAATCTGCTGATTAAAATAGAAAATGGTGAAAGTCAATATATAGAAGAATCATTAAATCTACTATACATATTCCGTGATTCTACTGATTTATATATTAGCTGTTTACATTATATTTATATGTTTACAAAAATATGTGACAAGTTCTATGTTATAGAAGATATTTTAATAAAGTTTTCCCCATATGAATCTTGCCTTAAGAAGAAAATAGAGTTACTCCAAGAACTTATAAAGATAGATCATAAAAAGACATGTAATAAAGAACTATCAAAATTCATACTGATAAAACTAAGAAAGACAATGATAAAGTACAAAACTCTATTTAGAATATTTTCTAGTGAGTAATACAGCATAAATATAAGAAGAACTTCATGGCTTCTCTTATATTATGTTGTATAATTAGTTTAAACCCAAAAATATAAATTGAATTTTCAAAGAAATATGCACGTACTCAAGAAATGCACTACTTAATAAATATATTGAAATTTGCTGGATCGACATAAAAACAGTTAAACATACGATAATACATAGCTAAAAGATGAAAATAGAAATATTCTATAATTTCGGGTTATATAAAGGATTATAAATGAGATAATTTCAATAAATACTCTAATCGTATTAATAATACTAATTACTTCTCTTTCTGCTAGTTTATGTGCATAACTAGCAAGCTAACTCGAAAAGGCATAAACATCCAATGAGAATGTACTTATGTTAATATTATACGTACATGTAATATAATTTGTTTATAGTTCATGATGTAATGCATTAATAGTTTAACATACATTATAATTGTATTTACGTTTATTTCTAACAAAGGATGGCAATTTATATATTAGAGTAGTATAAAGGCTTTTTATGAGTTGTTTGTGCAATTATTTACAGTAGAATATTGGTGGTTATTATTTACCAATTAGAATTTTTTAGTGATCAATTACTGCTGTAGTTAAGTATAATTGATCAATAGTTATTTAAGCAAGTATAGCTGATCAATAGAATTGAATTTCTATATAAAATCAGATGGTATGTTTTGTAATGGATTCATTAAATGCAAAACTAGTCGAAGTGTTAAATCTACAAAAGCACTTAGCAGAACCAAACAAAGAATTGAATTTAAGTGATAGAAATGAAATAATCTGTGGAATACTTAGAGTTTATAGAAGAGAACAGCTCTTTCAAAGCGACTATGGCGTATTCAAATCACTTGCATACAACACATTCATGGTTAGAGTAGTATGGGAGGTGGAGAAGATTGAGACATGCACAGAAGAAATAGTTCTGTCTACAGTTAAAAATGCACTCAAAAATACGCGGTGTGTTGTGGACAGTATTAAGAAAATAGCCAATAGCATATCTAATGACATGTATAGAGAATCCTACTGTAATATGATGAATTTCAACTACTTATCTGCTATAATACAATACGGCGTACTGGGTGACTATATACTGAATGATCTAAAAAGTTCGCTGTTTTTATACTCTGTGAGGCCAGATCTTCCAGATGCTAAAAACATGAAAGAGTCTCTTTTTGGAATGGACGAGCTGAATGGGTCTACACGGATAAAGAAAGTAATGCACATATTGATAAACCACGGCGGATCACTTGTTAAATATAACTGTGAAGGAAAGTTAGAGTCGAATATAAAGAATCTGGATATTTCTTATGACAGTGTTCTATCTCTCTACATATTCTTAAATGCGGGGTATGCAGACGTGTATATGCCTATTTCTCTAATAGAGTCCTCTTTCCTCATGGAAAAAATTAACTTCATGGATGGCAACTGCATTCATCTTGTTCCAACTCTGTTTTTTTTCCTGTACAGAGGGCCGTGGAATAACACCAGCTATCCATACAGTGTTGCTTTTGAGTATGTATTGAATACTATCCAGTATAACCGGTATGTTCTCTCCCATAACTCAATCATTGCCTTTATTAAAGAATACTTCCCTGCACTGGGTATTGATATAAAATTGTACATTTCAAAGCTGTATGTGTATACGGCTTCTCTTAACATAAATATGAACAATATTGTTATATTCGGAGAATCATCAAAGACAGCACCACCAAAAGTACAGGAAGAACACATTCCACAAATTAAAGATTGTATATGCTATCTTAAAATAGATGCATCTAAAGTAGAAAAGTCAAAAAAGAACCATACTAGTAGCACAGACAAAATCCTTTCATTCTTTGTTGTGCTATTGATACTTATTGTTCTCACTCTAGCAATGATATTTAAGGATGAATTAGAGATCTTCATATGGTCAATAATTAAGCTATTCAGAGACTATCAAAAATAAACCACCAACAGAAATCATATGAAATACTGTTAAATACAACTAGATACTGTGATATAAATGTATATTTATATTTCTTGTATCTTCTGATGATTATTGCACTCTTTCTAATTATGCAGTGTATAGATCATAGTTATTGCATATACATAAAATAAAGTATTTTTATATTTATTTAGTATTTTGTTGCCAGTTGCTACCAATTCGTTATAATACACTTATTCCTTTATAGAATCAGTGACTCTATACAACTGACACTAGTTATTTGTAGTGTTTTTGGGTTATTTCGGGTTATAAATACTAGAAGTGCATTGTTGGTCTGTGCAAATAACCCGAAATTCTAATTATGTGGTTTTACATTTTGAGTTATTTCGGTTGTTTAGGGGTGCACTTCAGTTAATTATAAATATGCGTATAATCCGAAATAACCTAGGATTGCACCGATCAGAATAGTTAAAAAAAATATTTTATTTTCCTTAATGAAATGTCTGATTATAAAACTTCTACTGGTCATTAACCATGTACACACTAAAATAGCACTGACTGACATACAGAAAATAGAGCAAGTGGTATTTGATGTGAATAATAATTTAGTAATAAATCCAGATGGACCACTTAATGGATTAAGAGGATATCTCCTGGATAAAAGTGGATATATGCATAATAAGCGGTTCTTTTCTTCTGAAATAGATACATTTTATACAATGAATGGGTCTGTAAATTCTGAGAGTGGACAGTTTGTCTGTGATTGTGTAAGAAAAAAAGTTAAAGACCATGCGTACATAGATATAGACACAGATAAAGCAAAAAAGAAGTATCTTATCAGATATCATACACAACTGATTAGAATGTTTCCTTCTGCAGGGGATAATCTTTCTATCTCTGCAGGAAGACCGAATGCACTCATAAGGTTCTTAAAAAGTAAACCAGTTGAACAGTACAGTAATTATATTCTGGCTGCCCTTCTATTATTAACAGAACACGTAAATATTTCCATTGGTGCAGACTTAGAAAAAAAAGGAGAAGAAAAGCTTTTTCTAAAAAGAGCTGATGGTATACGAGAATATTTCAATTTAAGTTTAGCCTTAAATAAAAAAAAGACAGACCAAATATGGAAGGATTATCACTCAGAAACAGTAGAGGTCATTGAATTTTTTAAAATGTGCATAGAATATCCTCTTCTAAGCCCAAAAACAGTTAATGGATTTACTGAACCAACTACGTATGAGCAGTTCATGATAGGAAACTTTTTGAATACACCACAGTTCCTCATCCAGTCGTACATATACGAATTTATTAAGACAAAGGATGATTACATTGAGTTTGTAAAGGCTGTACACACTTTGCTATCTGATCAAATGGAATGTGCAGATACTATAACCCGAAAATCCCCTAAATGCAAAAAGAGAAAGTTATTAGAAAGAGCATATAAAAAGCTATTCATAAAAAAAGAAGAATTTAAAAATACAAAAAACCACCTATCCCATATTATTCAGCTTAAATCTGCAATGGATGAGAACAATCCACTTCCATTAGTAGAGTTTATACAGAGTCTATCACCTACTATACTTCCATTATACAATCGAGATACTAAAGAGTTCGTGGACAATGAAAATACAATTTATTCAGACTGTGTAGAGTCTTCTATTTTAGGTATGCTCTGCTGGCTATTATATAGTACAGAAATGGAAAAGTACAGTACAGTACATTTATTCAGTCCATCTTCTGATTTATTAATGTTTTTCAAGAATTACAGTATACCAAGTAAAAGCGTAACCAGAGAAATGCGGTTAGACTGGTGCCGAGTTGTATCAGGCTTATCAACAAATGAAGAGATCTCATACATAAAAGAGAAAAGGAATGAAATAAGAAGTGGATTATTAAATATTTTCTTAATTATAGAAGAAGTAGCAGGACACTCTTCAGAAATATCCGAGCCAATTAATTATCTAAAGAAAATGCTTAGTGAACAACAATTAGATAAGAAATTCAATGTTCAATCGGCTTTACTTCAAATATTCAGATATTTATCAAACGGAAGAGTAACTGAAGTACTCTGTGAAGATTTAAGAATACTCAACCGAACGGATAACCGCCCAGATATATTTGGTAAATTTCAGTTAATCTGTGAATTTAGCACTATATTTACTTTAGACATAAGTTCAGGTCACTGTTCAGTAACCCTAATGAATAGTTCAAGTACACGGCATATACACCAGATAAAAAATGAACTTTCATCGATTCAAAGGGAGTACACCAACCCTTCTACGTATATAGAATGTATTATTATGCAGTATATAACAGTTGAATTAAACAAAATCAATTGTTCCATTAATAATACAGTATACATCCCTAAGAAACAAATACTTCACCATTTATCTAATTATAAGAATAGTGTATCTGAAATATTCTTATTCGGAAGGATTAGTCATATTTATACAAAAACATTCATTGTTATGGCATTCCTTTCATATTTTGAGGGCAGAGAGTTTCCTTTAAATGACTCTTTCGTTAGATTTACTAAGAATATTATAGGAAGTACTGTACTAAATGGTCGTACACAGAGACAGCATATAATGAGTGTTCTTTTGTTTAATTCATGCAGTACCATATACTATACAAATATACAGTATACATTCAATGATTTTATAAATTATGAGTATAATCCGTACTTAGTCACAGATATATTAAAGGACATATTAGAAGAAAAAGCATTCTCCGTACGTACTTCTATGGGAAGCTTTAAATGCTTATTAAAAATACTTGCACCTACTGCACAGTTTTATACACTGCTTAGAAGAGAGACCACGTTTTATTATTTATCTTCTCTTATATCAAGGTCATCAGATTTTTTAAATACTCTATTTATGGCTATAACCTATGTGAATAGTATTATTACACGGGATATGGAATTCACATCCAGTGATATTTATATTTATTGGCTTATGCACAGTTTTGAGGCATTTTCTGATGAACCTGAAATTAGTCATATGATATACGATAGTATAAATCCTGTGGAAATTGGGTGTAAATTTAAATGTGACGGTAACTACATGATAACTTGTGGTAAATTATGGAATGAGTTAAGGGATTATAAGGAATATTTCTATGATGAGTATAATATAGTTAGTACAGAGAAATACGTAAATATTATGGATAAGTTAAGCTGTCTTCGCACAAAGAAAGCCAATCGGGATAAATATCCATTTACTCATTATTATTGTAATAGAACTAATTCCACATGTATTACATAATAATTTCCCATGTGTATGCAATAATTATTATATAATGTATAATAATTATTAATTAAAAGTCATTTATTATTATTTATGCATTTCTTTATGGTTATTGGTTTTTTAATACTGTTCATATGCTATTTATTATTTATAATGCATTGTTTTAAATATTTTGTAAAAAGTTGTACCCATAAATAAATTTAAATAAAATATTAATGAAGAGTTTACAGAATTTATTACACAATAATAAAAATACATATAGTACAGTATATATAACACACCGTGTATTAATAAATATTACTTATTACACATAGTGTATTTAATAAATTACTTATTACACAGTATGTTATATATTCCTTACAGTTTAAAAATGAAATTTTTTTATTATATAATTTATTCTATTAAGCAGTTATTAGCGAATTACCACGTAAACCCATTTAAAGGCAAGAAATACTAATTAAAACATGAAATTTGGCTCAAACCAGGTAATTACAGTTGATTTATCATAAACAACTATAAATTATGGTCAATTTCGAGTATTTACTGTTATTATATAGTGTGTAAAATAAAAGAAACAATGTGTTATAAATAATGAGTATATTTCTAGGATTAAGATTGTTTATACTCCCTGTTGTAGTTAACTATTTTCTAGTAGTTTTTTTGTGGTGGACTGGTCTAGTGGTTATGATTCTCGCTTAGGGTGCGGGAGGTGCCGGGTTCGATTCCCGGGTTCGCCCTTTCTTTTTTTTTATCCCCTGCTTTTATTATTTATGTTCTTTGTGCACGGAGGAGCAGGCACGGCTTCTTTTTCCACCCTGCTGAAAATGAAAAAAAAACTGAAAAAAGTCATTTTAAAAAATACGTTAGAAAAAATAGCAGAAAAAATGGAAAAATCGGCATTATTTAACTGTGGAAATGGCAGTAACAGAACAGAAAATGGAAAAATAGAAAATGAATGCTGCTTAATGAGAAAAAATCAGTTTATGAGTCTTTGTATGATACCAGAAAGGAAATTACCATATAAAGAAATAGTTAAACAGATAAAAAGAAAAAGGTTTCCAGGAAAAGTAGTGCCACTCAGTAAAGTATATCAAGAAGAACCAGCCCAAACCACCCCACAAACAGAAGAAGATAAAGAAATAAATCAAAGCACAGCCGGATCACCAAGTAAAGATAACCAAATACTCAGAAACCCACAGAAGAATAAAGAATCAGTTATTACAGGATTAGAAAATAATTCAGATACGGTTGGTGTAGTACAGGTAAAGCCACACAGTATAATTGCTTACTCAAGCAGTGGCGGACCCAATGGCAAAGAATCAGGACGAATTGGGCCATGCTCAGTCTTTGGTGCAAATACGTTTGTATCTGGATCATGTGCTGTGGTTATTTCGGGCACAGGAGAGTCTCTGATAAAGCATCAGCTAGCCAGGAGAATACACAAATTATGCACCAAATTGTTATTTGAAGAAATATCACAGGAAATGAAAATATTCAGTAATAAAGAACGGTTATTTCCGTATATGGCAGGAATTGCCATAAAAAGAAAAAACGGTGAAGTTTTTCTTGTTCATTTCCAAACTGCGGCATCTTTTATTTTTGCATACTCTGCAGGAGGAAAAACAAAAGTCATCATACACCAGCAGCCCAAAGGAGAGATATTTTTAAATATCATTAGACTACCTGATGATAATTTCCAAATAAAGTAATATATTCTATTAATTATTACTGGCATAATCATAAAGAGACAATACTACTCCACATATAATATAAACTAAAATAGTATAAGAAACCTAATAGTCAGGATTAGAAGGCAGTTTAAACCTGTACAGAGTGTACTTAGACTAATTTCTGGTTATATCTATAATATTCCCATGAGTGTTTCTGTTCTGGTATAAGCACTCTTCTTAAATAGTCTGTGTTTAATATGTCACTCCTTGATTCTGTCCTTTTGTTTTGATATAGTCACTGTATGAGTTAGTATTTTAATAGAGTACTCACAATGACTCGTGTCTGTGTGGTTATTAGTGTTATATGTATAACTAATATAAATTTAATAAATCATGACTAATTTAAATATTCTGATATTCTTGTTATTACTAAGTATAATAAAAGCATTGAAATAAATGGAAGAGTGAACATTAGTATAAGTATAAGAAATAGATGAATATAACCCGATATAACCCGAATATAAGTATATCTTATGTATTATAGTTATACGTAATAGGAAATATTCAATTCATTATAATTATAATTTATACTGAGTATGTCTATATGGATAATTAAAAAGAGCAAATTAGTCTGTTTGAACAAATCTACAGCTAATTTATAATTTTAGTATCTAAAAATAAGATCTTCTGAAGGATGTAAGTACCAGCTGCTGAAATAGCTAGAAGTGGGATAAGTGCCACTTGTATTGCTGGTGTAAGAAGGCATATCAAACAGGTCCTCTACTGGTGCCTCCTTATTGTATGATGGTTTCTCTGATGGTCCTGCACAGTATTGTGCTAGTTTCTTTACTAGTGCCTTATTGTATGAATCACTGTCTAAGCTCTTCTTGTTGTGTTAGTCCTATACACATATCTGTATATTTAGCTATTCTCCATATAAACTGTACGTATTGTTCTATTTCATTCTAGGCCCTTTAAACTCATCACTGTCTCTTTGTAGTGAATTTGTCTTATTAGTTAGTGTATTGTATCCTTCAACTTTTTTTAACCCCATTCTAAAGTTTTTTATAGCTATACCTAGTAGTTCTGTTGTATTGGTTGCCAAATATCATAGCTCTTCAGTTCTCTTCAAATGGATCTATTTGTTGGCTTGGATTCATTAGTTTATAGTGATTTCTAATTATATCTTTAAATTCTTCTTTTACATATGGATGTGTGTATACTCTTGTAGTAAGAACTGGTATGTTTGTAATTCTTGCCCTATTTCTTATTTTATTATTGGATTTAGAAGATGGACTTTCTTCATTAATATAGAATGCTTTTATTAAGTCTTCAAAATAATTTTCAAATACTACAGTTTGATAGCTATTTTTATTAAACTAATAGCCCCTTGGCAACATATATTATAATTTATTTTATTATTATAATATGTACACTATTTAAATTTATTTTATTAAAGAGTATTTATTTATAAAGTATGCTTTATATATGGCTTAATGATTAGAAATTGTATTATTATGTGTAAGGCATAAACAATATTTTATTCGGGTTATAATCATTAAATAAGAATATTATTGCTTGATATTTCTCTTCAGACTCATAATTGCTGTTGTCAACTAATTCTAGCTTGTTATCCTGTAAGAACGTTATAAACTTAGTGATATTCTCATTGGACAGTTTATATCCTAAAATACCTTTAATTTCATTTGAAAGTGCATATGGATTAATACGAACATATATGGGTTTAATATCCACCATGCCGAAAGGGTAATGAGAATTAATTAGGTTAAAAAGCCAGCACACATAAATAGCAGTGAGATTGTCGTTAACAGGAGAGGGCACTGCATCTATTAATTCATTATGAATATTATTTAAAACAGTTTGTCTGTACGAGCATAGTTCTTTTACAGACATTGTTTTCTGATTAATTGGTTCTTTACCATATAATTTTATCTTAGTCTTAGGTTTTGGATGTACTATGTTATAAACAATACTGTTTATTTTATTTAGTATACTAATAATAACGGGCAAATCTGAGAATAAATAAGGGATTGCGAAGTCTTTCTTATACACCCGTAATATAGATATATATGAATTAAATAAAGAAGTGGTATCTATTGCCCCTATATCAGACAGTGTTTCCATCGATGAGGATAGCCCATTTGAAGAGATTTCTGTTTTAGGAATAGTATACACATCATATTCTATAAGTTGTGGATAGTATATTTTATAGTTATTAGTGTATGCACAGGCAGATAGAATACATTGTCTTGTTTTTAAGTCATCCATAGGAACATCTCTTATAAGATTAGAAGTGAACTGTACCATGGAATTATCAATGCCAAGAAATCCTCTATTATTGTGTATTAAGAACATTTTTATAAGCTGTGACTTGTACTCTAAATCATCTAGACTTCCCCATAGCAGTAGTCCGTTTGGATCATCGCATTTTCTATTCACTATTTCTCTTTTATTTGCCTCATATGAGGTTTTTAGAATAAAAGTCTCCTTTGTTTCATAACTTGTATCACCCCAACTTACTAGATATCTCTTGCTAGTGTACTGTTTTATAATCATTTGTGGGTATGTTTTTGGATCCATATAAATATTATCATTAGGATTTGGTTCATATCGAGATATTCTTCGATTTTTTTTGCGGAAATAACAATCAAGATCTTTATCATCTTCACGGCTTGAATATGAATCAGTTGATTCAAAAAAGGATGTTTCGTCTATTTTTCCTTTTCCTTTTCTATAATCTCTACCAACGGATTGTTGTAAGATGTAGATACGGTGAATTTAATTCCATACCACCTTGAATCAAAATCATATAGAATACTAATTTGTATATACGCATCGGTGGCACGTACTCCATGCCTAGTTATTGATGTAGGCATAAGATCATTACATATCATTCCTAAGGCTTTATTTCTGGAGAGAGAAGAAAAGACTTTTTTTAAACATTTTCGCATTTTTCTTTTTGTTTCTCTTCTATTTTTATTATAATCCATCTGAAAATCATTCTTTATGTACCTAATTGTTCTTTTTATTCTATGCCCGTTTCCTACTAAGTCATACATCGTATATAGCATGTGTAATAACCCAGTGCTAACGGTTGAACCATCTTTAGAAAAACCATGCTCTGGTCTAGGAAGTCCATATATAACTCTCTCCCAATCAGATCGCATAGTACTGCCTATGCTACTTACTTTGTGGGTATACTTAGAAAAGAACTCTTTTAGCTCTTTAGATGGATTTGGTATATGATCTATATTATATTCTTTAGTTTCTTGGTCAAAGGTAAAGCATAAGAACAGAGCAAGAAGAATACACTTCTGACAATTTTTAAAACAGCATTCGTCTTTATAAGATAAAGTGTATTGACAGTCCTTATTAACATAATCAGGCCCATCTATGTGACTTGGTTTATAAATAACATCCATAAAGGGTATATTTTTAAACCCATCTTTTATTTCTTTAAAGTTACAGAAATCTGTAAAATTACGCCTCTTATCTCTCATTCCCAGGTGCACATCCACATCTAGCACATTATTTATTGCAAATAACCGATTAAGTAATTCCATTACTTTTCTATCGTGCTTTGAAATTGGGATTTCATAATTAGTAGGCTTGCGGGTATTAAGCATCACATACACCGCTCTTACAAAATCCTTATACATCTTCGCACTGTCTATATACTCAAAGATGTATGACTGTATGAGAAATCTGGGATTGCACAGAAAATTCCCTGTTAAGAACTCTTCATACGTAGTAGGCATTGCGAATTCCTTAGATACTTCTAGAGTGTTTTCTGGATCAACAAGGCTTTTGAAAAAATTTACTATCTCTTTTGTTTTCTTCTGATATACTGACTTTTTATACCATTCTTTTCCATCCTTTATAATTAAGCTCAAATTGACATAAAAACCATTTCCGGTTGCTTCGGAATCCTGTAAAATAATTCTTTTATTCCCACGGTTTTTTTCATTGCGTTCTATTTTAATAGGAATATTTATCCCTTCTGCAAGAAGAAATAAAGAAGCTAATAAATTCAAACTGTCTGGCTTTTTTTTATGCTTCCTCAGAAATCGAGTAAATGAGTCATCTTCCACTGACTCAATAGAATAAGCCAGATTCTCAGATGGAAACATATTTATCAGTTGTTGTGCATATCTTTCCAAGTATTTGTTCTTTTTGGGATCTTCATGTGTTGTGATATGCACTTTCCAAACCATTAAATTTTTAAAATCCTCTGTGGATCCACTATTTTTCATTTTATTCTCTGCATATATTGCATGCCAGTACATACGAAAGTTCTCCATAAACCCACTTTCAGAAGTCATATACTGAACAGTTGGTGAAAGTCCTCCATCTGGGTGTAATATTATGTTGTTTTCTATTATCATTTTCTGTACCAAACCTACATCTGCATACCCTATCCTAGCACATACACTGTATATTGCTGTTGTTATTTCCAATAGTATAAGTATGGTATTCTTTAATGTATTTCTTATTATAATATTGTTCTTCTTAAGTAGATTCTGTCTCTCTTCCATATCTAAATTATTTATATTTCTTATTTTTACTTTTATAATAATTTTTATCAGCAGAATAAAATAGAAATTATTTAAATTCTTAATGGTAGTAGAAGACTAATTATTAAGTAAGTAATAGACTAATTTCAATTAAAAAGCAATAAATCATATTTATTAAGGAATTATCCACAATTTATACCTTTAATGCTGTACGCCAAGGCTGCCTCAGTTGAGTAAAATATAAGTATCAGGCATAATGAAAGGTAGTATTAGATGGTTTATGCAGTAACCACTGAGAACAAGTATTTTCATTTTTGTAGTCGGTTTATTCGGGTTATATATGAATGCTTCAAATTATTCTATTGCACTTTCAAGTGGGAGGTACATGAAATGTAACATAAAGAATACACTAACAATAGATACAAAATCTCCTAGTGCAATAAATTCAGACGTAAGAAAACCAGACATTCCCACGATTACTAGAACTATAATCTCTATTATAGGGTAATATTTAAGGTATGCTCGCACATTAGTAATTAACTCATGTGCTGTTATATTGGAGTGTGGCTTTATAAGAGAAATCAATCTAAATATGGAATATATTAGATTAAGTGCAAAGTATACTATAAATCCTATTAGAGACAGTATAGTTACAGTAGACCTTTCCAAATTTATTAGAACACCTTTGTATTCAATTTAATATCTAGAACCGTCTTAATAAAGAAAATAGGTGCTAGTAAAGTAACTAAAATATGGACAAAATAAACCCGAGCCTGGGTTGGAGTATGTCTCCATATGCTTTAATGTATTTGAGGTAGGCAGCCATCGGTTCAAGACTCCTCGAACCTTATATCAATAAACCGATTTTCATTTAAAAACATAAAACATCGTCACTATCCCTATCTGCCTTGGACTATGTTATCCAGGCAGCAATGATGCCACTCGGGGCAATAGAACATAACTTATTACACATATAGCATAGCTTATTACACACTATGCTATTATTATTACTTATTATATCAGAATGTTTAAAATAACTTAAAAATAAAATTACTTTATGCTGTTTGTATAATAAATTATAATACATTTAATTAACAAATCAGCTTGTAATGTTAATATAATATAATACAAATAAACCAATAAGTCTTATAATTTACCATAGATATAATATAGACTAATATTAACTATAACTTATTACACATATACTATTATATTATATACACTTTTATACATATATTCATATAGTATTTATACTAATACTTTATAAACATAATGTAATATATTTTATTACTTTTTATATAATTATTTAATTAAAAATGTCACAATTTTTATTACACAATGGGTTATATATTTTACTATATAACTATAACTGACGTATAAATACAAAAATTTATTTATTTATATTCTAGGTTGATAAGCAAGAAGAGAATGTTAAGAGAAAAAACCAACAGTAAACCACAAAATAATCATAAACAAAACAAAAGAGACTGTTATACAAAGACAGAACAATTACCAGATGAAATAGTACAAAATAGTACGCAATGTAGTAAAAGTACTGTAGGTACAAGTACAACAGAAAATTCAAATTCGTTTGAAAATAACCCGAATGAACCCTCTTTATCAGACATAACCAGAAATAATCCTAAGATATATAAAGCAATGTATACTATGTTTTATACAATTTTATTTCTTGTTGGGGCTATAAACCTTCTCCTTTCTGCTCCTGTGAGTTTAGTTGAAGTATTCAATGATAAATTACAGATAGGGAAATATTTATTGAATATTCCAGAATGTAACGGATTACCAGAAATGGAAATGATAAATTGTATAAAAAACGAAAAAATAACTGAATTTCCAGAAATGGCAATTGATAAATTTTTATCGAGTAGATTATTTCATGAGTCACATACACCAGAAAGGTTCGAACATAATTTAAAGATTTTAAATACTTTAGGTATGATTTTGATTTCTACAGGTAAAATTTTAGGTAATATTTTTTATTTGTGTTTAAATAACTATTTTCCTACTATAACAAATAATTTAACGGTTATTTTTATGCAAATTTTTACATTTACCACTATTCCAATGCTTTTCATACACTGTTCTATGATTAATGAATATTTACCAGATTTGTATACGCAGTCTATAATAAGTCTTATAACAAAAGTATTCCTTGGTATAAATATATCACTAGGTGGGATTCTGCTGGATTTAGGACTAATTAGAATGACTAGAATGAATTTAGGGTTAATTCGGGTAGATAAAGAGTATTTAATGAATGCGTATAGTGCTGTTAGGATAGTCTCAGGATGTCTTGGATTCTTATTTCCTGTTGTATTTAGTTATATCTACTATAACTTAAACCCAGAATTAGGTATTTTTATTATTTCAGTATTAGTGTTTATGCCGTTAATTACTGTTTACTGCCTGAAAAAGGCACTTAATAAGATAGAGTATAATACACCACATAGTATAAATAATGAAACAATTACAGACACAAATGTACAGGAAGAGAGTACAGAACTTATAATGCAAAATATTCCAGCTAATTCGGGTCCTTTAGACGAATCTATTGAAATGGAAGAATTAGGAAATGTTCATGGGAATACAATACAGTCTGTAAGAAACAATAATAGTAATGAAAATACATTAAAGCCCGAAACAACCCGAAATATTCTACAGAAGATATTGTACGGCCTACAAAAACTCTTGGAATACTTTCCTATTATAACCTTATTATTTCCTATTTCATTCTTTATGACAGGAATTAATATTTTTATATTCTATAAAGAGAGTATAATTGCATCTACTTTAGGAATATTCCCACTTATAGTACTGTCTGCCCCACTAGTCGGTGGATTATTAGCATTATTTGCCCCTCTTCGTATAAAACAGTCTATGAAAATATTTATAGGATTTACCATAATAGGAATATGTCAGTTATTGTTTTTTATTATAAAAACTAACGATTTATTATCTGAAGATATCCTATCAAAATATTTAATAATAAGCGTGTCCCTTATGTTAATAGTAATAGTATACTTATTAACCCCATTACTGGGTATACTGCCGGTACTAATTAATCCATCTGGTAATTTTATTGCTATATACGGATTATACCAGCAGATAATGGACATTATAATATTTTTTATTTTATCAAAAATATTTCAATCGATTGGCAAGGATTTTATTCTTGTTTGTGGAATATTTTCTATTCTCAGTGGGATAGGATTAAAAATAATAATTCCTAATGAATTGTAATTTTGGGTTATTTCGAGTTATGTATTATATATATATTCCTTTATCTTTCATCATATCAAGAGATTTCTTAAAGGTAGATCCTTCTTTCATAGCGCACAGAATAAAAATTACTTTTTTGTTGTTTAGGGTTATATCGGGTTTTACATCTCTTCTTTCTACTTTTATCCTATTTTTACCACAGAAGTGTTCTTGAAGAATTTCTGATGAATTTAGCCTGTCCCTGCACTGGAAAATGTATTTTGGAAGAATTCTGACTAATTCAACAGGATCTGCACTCTCAAATAAATCTTGAGTTACTTCTTCTGAATACTGTGCACTCCCTGAACATGCCCCTGAATTATCTGAGGGATTTTTAGGATTATGCTGTGATATTTCTTCTTTATACCCAGGTAGTTCTTCTTCTGTTATGTACCCTGTATACTCTACTCCATTATAGTATAATACTCCTGTGATATAGGATAGACTGATAGGGTTTAGTACTGTAGTAATTGGTAGAAATACATTCTTGTGTATGTGTATGACTAGCTGATTATCTCTTCTGTGCATATACTCTTTCTTGTGGTGGTGGTCTATGATATATTTTATTTTCTTGTCTTTTTCTATGTTATTACGTAATACATCACAGATATGTCTTAGTCTACATGATATACTGCGGAGTAAAGAATGCTTTATTGTGTACTCATTTTCGTATGTTTTTGTTTCTATTCTTTCCTGTGACAGGATTCCCTTCTCTTGCATTTCCTTTCGAATGAGTTCAAGTTGAATTTCTGTGTGAATGTTCTGCTCTGTATACGAAATATTATTAAGAAATTCTCTAGACATGGCAGTCCATGCAAGTTGTGAATTTTTCATGGGAGATTCAAACTCATCCACTCCATCTGCGGATACTTTCAGTTCTGGAAGAGAAAATACGTCACTGCTTCTCATGAAAATATTAAAGAAAACGCAATAACAGAAATATAAAGAATATTATTAACAGACAAAAGCACTGGAAAGACAGAAATAATAGAAAATAATATTGAAATACATCAG